GCAAGAGTGAGAAACCACCACATGCAGCAAAGGACAAAAACAACAAGGAAAAAAAGAAAACACATTCGGATCTTCTCCCTGGACACCACTTAGAAAGCACCCTTTCCTCTTCGCCTCCCTGTTGTGATCAAGGCTCATAACTGAACAGAAAGTCCCGCTTCCAGGGTGTGTGCAGCCCAAGATGGCAGGGCGTCTTCTACGAAAGCCAAACAGCCCTGTGTGTGCCCTGGGCAACTGGTATGAGAAGCGATCCCCCAGGTGTCAGTGTCCTCGCGGCAGCACAGCAGCGCCAGGCTGACCGGGGGCCACGAGGTGCCAGCCGCTGTCTGTTGCACATACATTCTCTCATTCTACCCCCACTACAGCCCTATCAAATGAGTAGGAATGTTCTCTGTGGACAGACGAGGAAGCTGAGGCACAGAGGGCATATGTAACCTGCCCAAGATGGCACAGGTAAGAAATGGGACTGGGATTCAAACCCAGGTACCTGACCCCATGGACCGCAAGAGCACTGTGCTACTCCCCGAGACCCCAAAGGGCAGCAATTCTATTGGAGGAGTTAAACAAGCAATTTAACATCTGAAATGCAAACCGAACCAATTATGCAGACTGCTGTGACAGCTCCAGCCACGGGTAACGCCATACTCACAGCACAAACCGTTGTTGTAACTCTCACTTACGGTGGGACGGCAGAAGTCTCGCGGTAGGAAAATCACTGTAATGCTTGTAACGACAAGACTTAATTTAGACTCAAACACTCAGTAAAGACACAAATGACCTGGGGCGCCTGGGTGGCTCAGTCTGTTAAGCCTCCGACTTTGGCTTGGGTCATGATCTCACAGTTCGTGGGTTCGAGCCCCACGTCGGGCTCTGTGCTGACAGCCAGCTCAGAGCCTGGGGTCTGTTTCAGATTCTGTGTCTCCCTTTCTCTCTGACCCTCCCCTGGTCATGCTGTCTCTCTCTCATCCCTTTAGCCAGGATGTTAAAAACCAACAGCCAACATGGGGAATCAAAACAGAGTAGGCTCATTCTCCTGTTATTCCAGCACCTTCTGGGTGAGGGAGGGTACCAGCAGGAAAAGGATAAACAATCACCTGGCAGGTGACTGGGTACCACGCTCGAGAGATAAGCAGGCTCCGCACTCCCAGGCAGTCGGACCCTTGGACAACTCACGAGGGACCCGGCACGCCATGCTGCCGGGCATGAACGGCACTTGCCGGCAACCGGGGCAATGTCATCTCAGGAAGTCCTAGATTTCTAGAGGAATCCTGTTCCTATTCAGGACACTTGTATCAAGAATAAGACGGTCATCCTCTACAGCAAATTGCAGGCAATTCTTCCCTTTTGATGCCCTTACTTCCAGAGGTTAGCCAAAATAAGAGACTTGCTCATTTCCTTCCTCCTTCTAAGAAACGAGGTAAATAGAAAATAACCTTCCCAGAAACCTTGAGAAAAGGAGATCCATGCGAGTTCACCGTGCCTTGCAGACACGGATGACTGTTAATAAAATATAAGGCAAAAGCTTGATTTCGTGCCTTCTGTCGTATGAAAGAAAGTGAAAGCAAAGAGTATTTTTAGCTCTTTCCAGCCTAAAAGGATTTGACCAAAGGAGCTTCTCAAAGTCTGGTTTTCCATGCACTGATCAAAACTGACCAAGGTTCTAGAAGGAGGTAAATCACTCCCTGCCCAGACAGCCTACAACATAAACGAAAGCCACACTCCACACAGCCAGTCATCAGAGGTGCTGATGTGGACTGCCACTGCTCAACTCCTTTATGACTCTCCTTCAGATGCCAACAAAGGAAGGAGAAATATAGGAGGTGCCTGGGCCACGAAAGAGACAAAATGGCAGCACGCCAAATCCGCCCAGGATGTTCTTCTAGACAAATATGGTTCGGAAAGCCCTCACACTTGGTTCCGTCTCCGCAGACCTCTCCAACACCAGCTGTCTCGGGGAGTTCTCGAAAGCTCTCAATAAAACCTTCCCAAAAAGGCAGAACTAATGCAGCTAAATGTTAATTCAGAATGATGAAGAAATAGGTGGTTTACTTCCTCCTCAAGGTTTACTTTTTAAACATGAATCTGGCGAGAGAGGATCAAAACGTTCTCTGCATATGTAGGCAGTTTGATTTCTACCCAAATTTATGGGAGGACTATGTAATATTTGGTTAAGCTCACGTTGAGAAAAGCCCAGTGCCAAACAAATAAACTCTCAGAAAAATTTACAGATTTTTCTAAAATCAACCACTTGAGGGAATGCTAATGGCCATTTCTGGATGTTTCTCTACAAGGATATCTTGAAAAAAATGACAAAATCAAGGTTAATGCCATAAATCAAACCTGCATGGAAGTTAAGAATGAGGTCATTATTAATACAAGAAAGAGACATCAAAAGAAAGCAAATGCTTTTCCTGCTTTCTCAATGGGTTGAGGAGGGTGACCACATTCCATAATGTATGTAAATACCACGTCACCACATTGTACGCCTGAAACTAATACAACGTTGTGTATCAATTATTTTTCAAAGAAAAAAGAATTGATGACTGTACTTGACAAAACTATTCCAATATACGATAAAAATAGTCCTGTTCTGCATTTCAAATCCTGCTGGACTTTTTTCCTTCAAAGATGAAGAAACTGTTCTTCCTTTCCAGATGGGGGGAAAAAAATGGAGCAAAAAACCAAGAATTTTCAGCGCATTATCACAGGATGATTCCTGAATCTTCAACTATTTTTGGTATGCAGCTAGGTTTCTGGGGGAAAAAAACAATGAATGAACATTCCAATTTAAAATGAAACTGTCCTTGGGTGCTTAGGTGTCTCAGTAGTTAAACATCTGACTTCGGCTCAAGTCATGACCTCACAGTTCATGACAGCAAGCCCCGAATCAGGCTCTGTGCTGACAGCTGACAGCATGGAGCCTGCTTATAATTCTCTCTCCCCGCTTCTCTCTGCCCCTCCCCCACTCTCGCATAGCACACGCAGGCTCTCTCTCAAAATAAACAAACATTTTTAAACAAATACTGATTTAAAAAATTATATTACAAAATGAGTAAGGGGCGCCTGGGTGGCTTAGTCGGCTAAGCATCCGACTTTTGCTTAGGTCATGATCTCGCCGTTCGTGGGTTTGAGCCCCACGTCGGGCTCTGTGCTGACTGCCAGCTCAGAGCCTGGAGCCTGTTTCAGTCTGTAACTCCCTCTCTCTCTGACCCTCCCCTGCTCACGCTGTCTCTCTCTCTCCTAGAAATAAAACGTTGAAAAAAAAAAATGAGTAAACAGGTCCTAGCTGAAAAATATCATTGAACAATGAACTTAACATCCTGCACATAAAAATACAAGGAATAGTCAGGATCCAAACAATATTTAGGGTCCCCTGCACATTCCGCAGTCTCTGACATAAGCTGCCCTTTCAAAGATTTACAAAGATAAACACAGCCCCCAAAATAGAGGTTAAGAGCACAGAATAGCCTGTTTCTCCCATAAGGGCTTGGATAGACAGCAAGGGCTCAACTGTTAACAGAATCAATTTTCCATGAAAAAAGAAATTAAACTCTGTACACTTAGCATGATGCACATGGAGTAATGTACAGAACTGGTGAATCACTGTATTTTCCACCTGAAACTAACATGACACTTTATGTTAACTCTACTGGAAATAAAATTTAAAACTTAATAAAAAACTTCAACTTGATTTTCAGTATATACTGCATTGCTTCCCATTAGTCTCTGAAAGACATTCTGACAGTCAAACACATTAGAGGGGCAGCCGGGTGGCTCAGTCGATTGAGCATCTGACTCCTGATTTTGGCTCAGGTCATGATCTCACAGTCGTGGCACTGAGCCCTGCGTCGGGCTCCACACGCTGAGTGTGGAGCCCACTTTAGATTTTTTTTCTCCTTCTGCCCTTCCTGCCGCTCCCACCTCCCACCATTTTCTCTCTAAAAAAAAAAAAAAAAAAAAATTTACCTCTGAACTTCCACATAAAAGATTTAAAAATAAGAAGCCACAGTGTGATAAGATTTACTAACTCAGACTGCACAAATCCCAAAGCCGCTAGCATCCAGGTGTTTGGAATTAACACCTGTCTCTGCAGCGCGTCATCTAAATACAAGCTCCGCGACACTAGTATTTGTACAAACAACCAAAGGAGACAGCATTCTTGCTGACGGAACTGTAAAGAACTGCATACAATGTAAGGAAATGATGTAACCAACCCAACACTCAAGCAGTTCTTTCTCCCAGGCGGAATGACCGATGTGGGCTGCCTCATTCTGTCTGGCTCACCCAGAATCTCCTAGAATAAATCCTATTAAGAGAGCGGGGGTAAAGAAGGCTTAGGGCTCTGGCGATGGCCCAACTGTGGCCGGCCCGAGGTTCACATCCATAACTTTAGTCTCAACGGTGCCAAGAAAGCACAAGCCACACTCTGAAGTCATCATCTCAAGAGTCTTTGAAAATGCTCTGAACTTCGACGTCTCCCTAAATCACATCGACTCCTTCCAACCGTGAGTACACGAGCAGGCTTCTTCATTGAATCCATTCAGATGAAAGCTCGGGATAAATGACAATCAAGCCTTCTCCATAGATTATCTTTTGTATAACCAACATCTTCTTAGAATTTTAATGAGATAATACTAAAAGTATAAATAATAACCTCATGGGTAAAGTATGTTGGCAGTGTTAGGTCCAACTGTGTACACACACACACACATGCACGCACACACACAGACGTACACACTCTCTCGTGTAGAGTCTCCCTTATAGGTAATTCAAATGCCAAAACCACCAGTTTTTTGCCTTGGAAGAAATGCACTATCTTTGGCAGTGTTTTCTTTCTTTCTTTTTAAACCAATAAATCATTTCCCAGAAGGTCAATTTCTGTTTCCAAAAAACATGTGAGTCACTAGAGATGAGAAACCCTTTATCTAAAAATGACTCCAGCTCCCAAGCACCCCTGACAGCAGTGAGAGAACGTGGGCCTTGGGGCTCTGATTACTTACTTGTTAAAAAAAGGTTCAATGAGTTTTGATCTGGCAGACACGTGAATTTTTGGAGGGCTAAGAAAAGAACCTAATGAAGAAAAGAAGCAGAGTATTACACACAGTCAAGGAGACGGAGCCCGAAAGTTCAGATGACCGTCTATGTAGATCAAGTGTGCAGTTCAGAAGGGTCAGAAGCACTCATGAGGGCCGAGCGCCAAGCATCACACCAGTTAGGTGTCAAAGGGTCTTCCTAGTGCACTCGCCACACCCTGCCCCGAGCCCCTCTGCTCTGGCCTCCGACCCTCCCACTTCTACCTGGGCAAGCGGGCCCCATGCAGAGGACAGACAGGCCAGAAGCCCACCTCCTCCCCTGCCCCCAAACTCAGCGTGTCTGGTGGAAGCAGCCACAGCGAGTACCTAGGTAGTTGGCCATGGCGATGAAGCACAGCCCCGTGATATATGCATCATAGCCTGCCTCGTGGAGCTGCTCGGCAGCCGTGTCGTAACTCGGAAAACCTTCTGCACTTTCTAGAGGGAAAAAAGAACAAAGGGTTTGCCCAAGGACATCACAAATCACGAAGACTGGTAGGCACGCTGCCCTACCAAATCCAAACAATGCTGGTATGTGCTGGAGAAATAGCCCAGACAAGCAGGGAAAGGCTATCTGCTTCTTAATTCCCTGCACAGGAGACCTTGCAATATGAGAAAAAAGGGTTACTGAAAATGAGGGCTTGGGGCTAGAAGATGCCTCAGTTACACCCCCAGAGACCAGCCACAGGCTCCTCACTGCACACGGGCGGGTGCTATTTACAATCATGCACAACTTGCTCTATGACAGTGATCTGTCTTCTGCCTGCTTTCTGAGGTCACTAGGAACTTCTTCCCTGATGATATAGAGACATAATGGGTATTTCGGTCACGACTAAGAGCATGGATTTGTGCATTCCATTGTCTGAGTTTAAATCTTTGTTCCACCATTTATGTGCAATGTGATCTTAGGCAGGTCGCTTCACCCCCGGACCTCTACTTTGGCAGGATGGAGATGAAAACCTCCCACGTTAGGCTTTTGTGAGGATCAAATGAGCTAATGTCAGTAAAGCTCTCACATAGTGCCTGGGACAAGGTAAATGCTCTGTAACTGTTACCCATCAATACCCCAGATAACCCTGCTAAAAGGCAAAAGGCGCTAATTGACATTGGCAGCTTGGCTCAGCACTGCCATCTGCCACATCTCCAAACGTACGATCTAAAGATGGAGGCACAACTAACTCCCAAACTAGATCAGAACGTGCTATGATGCTGCCCGCGGAGGGGCGTGCAGGTGGCTCAGTCGATCGAGCGTGGGACTTCTGCTCAGGTCATGATGTCACAGCTCGTGAGTTCCAGCTCCTCATCGGGCTCTGTGCTGATAGCTCTCTCTCTCTCTCTCAAAAATAAATAAAACATTAAAAAACATTCTTAAAAAAATGCTGCCCATGGAACATGGGACCACTTCTTAGGAGAGACCATTTTATATGATTCTTACATCACACTGATACACACAGATGCTGAGTGCAGTGTCTGGGAAGACTGACCTGCTTTAGAGTAAACCCTCTGCCATGTGCCAGAATATTACATGGAAAGAATAAGATAAAACTATAACTCTTTAAAAATGTTTTTAAAAAGCTGTAACTCATAAATATTTCCCAGTACCATTCTGGAAATGAGTATCAAAATGTTACAACAAAATCAAAAGCATGAATGGGAATTAACAAAAAGACTGTGATTGTTTTTTTTTTTTAATTTTTTTAATGCGTATTTATTTTTGAGAGAGAGAGACAGAGCATAGCGGGGGAGGGGCAGTAAGGGAAGGAGACACAGAATCTGAAACAGGTTCCAGGCTCTGAGCTGTCAGCCCAGAGCCCGACATGGAGCTTGAACTCACAAACCATGAGATCATGATCTGAGCCAAAGCCAGAGGCTTAACGGACTGAGTCACCCAGGGTCCCCTAGATTGTGACTGTTCTTAAGTCAACATAAGGGTCTATAAGCAAGAATTTTTTTAACTTATGTATTAAATATTACACTTTAAGCTTAAAAAAAAAAAAAAGTCTGTTAACATGATAGCCAAGTAAGTAAGAGCTTCTACTCTACCATCAGCTGAAACACACATTTCCAAAATCAATGATTTCCATCACAGTGTTAGACAAAAAAGGTCTAGGCTTTCTTCCCTCACCCTCCCTCCTTTTCTTAATTCCTTTTTTGGACTATTACCCAAGAAGGGAAGCAAATGGCTATAATCTTGGCTGCTTTAGTACCTTCCATTGTCAATTTCTGAACCATTAGCCCAATTATCAATGTATTCAGAAGTTTGCAGGCTACAGCTAATGGAATGCTAATTACGGTATCAGCAGCAAAATGAGGCAAACAGGAGGGAACACGTGGCAGGTTCGCCACACACCTGGGTGGTGGCCACGACCAGACATGGCAAAACATCTCTGCCCTGAGAAACGTTCCTCCCTACTTCTGGCGTTCCTTGCTGCTGCCCTTCCATTGCTTGGCCACCACTGATGGGGGTGGGTGGGGGGGAACTCTTTCCTCATCTCTCAACCCAGTTTTGGTCTTCCCTGAGACAAAAATTGTCTTTCCCTTTGACCCCTGAGTTTAATCACCAACTCTTTGTCTCTGCTTAAACAATGTGCCACAGAAAAGATAGATACATCAAGTTTTGGGAGAATTCCAAGCATTAGGAAATAAAAGCCCTGAAACTTTAACTGCTAAATTTCTCAATGAATGGGCTACCCAACTGGATTAACATAAATTAGGTGTAGGATTATGAGACCACCTTTATTCAGAAAGCGTTAAGTCAGCACAGGGCAGGAGCAGGTCTGCTCAGCCAGAATCCGTACGTGTGCACGGTGGCTTCCAGAGCAGCTTCTTCCTTCTGCGATGTACATCAGTCATGATCGCAAGGGCTCTGGGCACTATCGGGATCACTTTATATTCTTACCAACTTTAGGTGGGTTGAAAGGTGTCTCTTTTAACCGCTTTTCCAATTCTGCAAGAGATGTGTTGTTAATGATATCCTGCAAAGCAGAAAGTGGAGGTTTACGTATGAGCGTAAATCATCTCAGTGTAACTTCCAGCAGAGATTCACTGAATATCAGAACCAAAAATCAAGAAATGATAAAAAGAAACACACAAAACAACCCAGTATCTAGTACTGCCCCCTTGTGTTCTCTGAAGAAACACAGGCGTCCTCATTCATTCAACGTGAAAGGCGTCAAGTGTCATTTTCCCCATGCGGAAAGCATCACCACATGAAAGGTTGCCAAGACATGTTAAATACCTACAGAACTTGGGCCAGAAACCTAAACAGTTCTGGCATTCATTTCACTCAGTTGTATAAAGTCACTTTACAAAACAGCAAATGATTGATTATACTTTTACGTGAATTTTTCTGGTCAAGAAATATAACCAAAATACATAAAATCAGGAAAATAATGAAGTGTAACCTATTCATGTGTAACCTATTCAGAAATGCATTACACACACACACACACACATTTTTAGAAGGCTCATTGCCCAACATGAGGCCTGAACTCACAGCCCCGAGATCAAGAGTCGCATGCTCTACTGACTGAGCCAGCCAAGCGCACTCCCCCCAAAAAACACATTATATATTTTAACATCAAAAACATTTATAGGGGTGCGTGGGTGGCTCAGTCAGTTAAGCGTCCGACTTCAGCTCAAGTCATGATCTCACGGTTTGTGGGTTCAAGCCCCATGTTGGGCTCTGTGCTGACAGCTAGCTCAGAGCCTGGAGCCTGCCTTCAAATTCTGTGTCTCCCTTTCTCTGACCCTCCCCTCCCCATGCTGTCTCTATCTCTCTCTCAGAAATAAATAAAAAAACTTTTTAAAAAATATGTAAATAAATAAATATTTTTAAAACTATAAATAAACAAAAACATTTATATTCAAAATGAATATAGGAGAAAAAAATAATTCTACTACCCAAACACAACCATTATTCACATTTTGATATATTTACTTCTAGTTCTTTTCCAATTTTTTTCTTTTTTGAATGTATTTGAAAAGTTATTTAGGGGCGCCTGGGTGGCTCGGTCAGTTAAGAAGTCCAACTTCAGCTCAGGTCATGATCTCATAGTTTGTGGGTTTGAGCCCCACATAGGGCTCTGTGCTGACAGCTCAGAGACAGGAGCCTGCTTCAGATTCTGTGTCTCCCTCCCTCTCTGCCCCTCCCATGCTTGTACTTTGTCACTCTCTGTCTCTCAAAATTAAATGTTAAAAAATTTATTTAAAAGAAAGAAAATGGTATTTAAATAGACCAGAATTTCAAGCCCCTAGTGGCATTCTGAAACACATCAAAACATAGTTTATCAGTGATAGCTCATATTTTAAAAATACCTTAAATGGTTGTGTGCTGGCCATCAATTTTGTATCTAAGAGTCTAAAAAACGAAACAATTTTCAGTAAGATAAACAAAATGCACATCCATGTCCAAAATGTATTTTACTCAAGTGAAAAGCCTACTGTCCTAAAAGCCGACAGGAGAGTTAAGCACATGAAACGTTTTGACGTAGTGCCGGCATCTCCACTACATCAGACTGGGACTCCATCCTGTCAGCCCCTCTTCATCAAGAGGCTACAAGACTCCACCACCCTCAGAGCACAGCTCTTGATCTGCCTGGACCCCAAGATGGTGTGGGCTACGTCGATCTCAAGGGGAAGGCAGAGATCTTCCTAAGTTTATACACAGTTCAAATATGGCTACTGGACTAGCACCCCCCCACCCCCCTGCCAACGTCTTTACCAACTACTATCCTACCCAGATTTGTACAAAATAAACTCATGGAGGTCAAAATCTGCATTTGGCAGTTTCATGCTATCATTGTTATTTCTTAGAATTTGGTTTCAGAGATTAGAATAAGAAAAAAAGAGAAAAAAAAAGAGACAGACACTAAGAAGAAAACTCTTGTTTCTTGCGACATAAATGTGAACAGTGTCCGTAACAGGGCAAATTAGCCCGGATGTAAGAATGACGGCTCTGCTACCATGCCCATCCCTCTTCAGACGGGTCTTTACACACAGACCCCTGCTTTGGAGGCTCCACGTGGCCGACAGGGGACCTATCAGACATGTGACACGTAACGTATCAGACCTACCATGCGGTATTAACTGGGGAGACACGGACAGGTAAATTCAGAGTTGTGGGAAAAAATCTCTAGCCACAAAAATCTCTAGAAAAAATCTTCTATACCACAGAATACTCTGAACTGGATAACGACAGGGACAAGGCAGGTCCGATGTAAAAGAGAGACAAGAGCCAATTCAAGAAGACTCTGCCAGTTTTCCAGACCATAGGGTATGGGACGAGAGGAAAGGAACTGCTGTCTATTTTCACTCTCAGTTCAAATTTTGACTTTTAATGGAATAAAATGAATCCTCAATTAAAAAAGCAAACCATCACAGCTGGACCTGTTAAACCATTTCCCAGCTTGTATCAGCTGGATCATAACCACAATCAGGTAATTACCATTATTACTATTTATTACCTGTTTATATTATAGACCATAAGAGAACTATTTTGAAGGAAAGACAAAAAGAATCCTTAAAGAAAGCTTACCTGGGGAAAACACATGTTGTCATCTCCTTAAACTCATTTAAGTCCTAAAACAAAACAGAACAAAACACGGACAATGACTTACTGTGATTTTACTAATATGCTCACAATACTGAAAACACACATGAACATTTCAAGCTTCATAGTTCTCTTTTCAAACTGTGATATTTCACACGGGCCCTTTAGGCTCAATGGCCAGATCCATTTCCAGTTAATAATTACTTTCTAAAAATCTTCACAACTTCTTCACTGACTGAGAATCCTATGATGTGACATAAAACCTTTGCATAACCAAAATAAACAAATTCCAGCATTTTACGGCTGAAACAGGAGGGAGAAAGGTTTCTAGTACACGCCAGGAAGCTTTCAGTAATAGCTCTATTAAACAAATCCATCATAACAGCAAGACTAGTAGAGCTATTTAAATAAAGTGGTTTAAATAGGAAATGGGTATTCTGTAAACTAGGTTATACCATTACTGAGAACGCTTTTGAAATGCTAGTTAAAAAGGCCATTAACACACAGACGTTCCAAAATGCGCAATGCACGCTTTAACTACTCAGAAAATTGCTAAAGAAGCGCCTGTAGCAAGTGCCTAAATTAGACAATTCATTTCCCGGTTTATTTTGATCAGGAAGTCTGATGCTGAAAGGAGAGGGATCCAATTTTGAATGAACCCATTTACATACATAATTGCCACGCTAGACTGAATCGTCATACTCCTGACCCTTTGTCACCACACTTCTCTTCAGCGTTATTCATGCTTCAGAGCAAACTGCCACTTCCAATTAGCTCTCTGAGCTTATAAATACAGACAGTATTTAGCTAGTTTGGAATATTTACCAGCTTTTCAACGGCTGTCATGAAATTAACAGACAATACGTGAACAAGTGTTTCAGTGCTGAGGCCAAACAGAAATGCACTGACTGCTGTCACCTCTCAATGCCATCACAAAGCCTCACAAGCAAGAAAAAATTAGAACTCTGGCTCCTTCCAGGGCTAGCATACAACAGAGCTCTGGATCAATACCTCGTAAAAGGTCAAGCGCAAGTACCATGGAGGTTCTTCAGAAGCGACTCTCCCCTAAAAGGCAGCTCCAGAACATGCATTCTTTAGAACTCCTTTAAATGCAAGATGCGGTATGAGCACATGCAAAAGTTCTCCACTTTTAAACATGTTTTCTCATTTATTCTCATTGCTTCTTCCTAAACGCACTGGAAGAAAACCATTTTCGCCTTCTGACAGGGACAGAACACAAAGAGGTACACTTACTTACTCAGGTCGCTTTAGTAATAAAGGAAGGGATGAAGCCACGTCTCCTAACCCACGTCCTACTCTGCAACAAAACACATGCTCTTTGTACTACAACTGGATTCAGAACTGCAGTAGTTTCATTCAGGGTGACATTTATTAAGTGCTTGGACAACATGCTATGCTAGGCGTTTGGACCCAAACAACAAAAAAGGTTAAACCCCTTGTCCGAGAAGCCGATCACCTAGAAGAAGAAAGGGGGAAAGCTGTCAAGAAAAACAGTAGGCACAAGAGGTACACGGTTCTTTGGGAGTTCAGAGAAAGGAAAAATCGTCTCTTGGGCAAGGCAAGTGGGCATGGAAGACTTCCTGGAAGAGGTGTTTGCGGACGCTGGAAAGACTGGGAAAGCTGTATACGGCAAACGTGGAGAAAATTTAAGGTAGAGGAAATGGTATCCCGAAACCACGGACAGCCAGAAACACCAAGTGGTTCCCAGGAACAAAGGAGCCAGGCTGGCTGGCCACATGGAGCCTAACAAGTGACTCGAAGGCACAGGCTGGTTGGGCCAGATCACAGAGAGGCAGGGTTTGCCAGGCTACAAAGAGTCGGCTGTATAGAAAAGCAAAGAATGTGGGATTAGGTTCAGACATTTGAGCAGGGTCAGCGATGTGAACCTGTGAGCCATACATCAGAAGATTATAAAACCAGCACAGCCAGAAGACATTCGGTTGTTAACTCAACATGTAATGCCTCCTCCGGGCCCAGCTCTGATTGGTGCTCAGATGCAGTATGTCACGCCCCTTTCTCTTTCCTTACCAATCACTTCACCGGTTTAAAGGTCAAAAAAAAAAAAAAAAAACCCTGAGAGGAGCTGCTGTACTTTGGCCTACTGGGCCAAAAGAAGTGGTTGATCTGCAATCAACAGTAGCCGTTTAGATTTCTACACTGCGAGTTCACACCCGTCCTGTTTGAGACTCGCCACTACAGTCTTTGAGTCCCAGAGGGTGACACAGTTGTCATGAAAAGCCCCGGCAACCCTGAGGGTGCAGAACTAGGACAAGGGAGCAACGGACCCACTGCATTCTCAGCAGGGCTCTAGTGGACTTTTCCTAAGAAAGCAATCAAGATCCTGATGGAACAATGTCTCATAAGAAACGTGACAGAACGGAGGCTTTGCTGATGTATAAATGACACTGGGCTCTGAAGGAGATATCTTCCAGTCCAGAAGTCCTAAAAGATTAATGTGGTGGCAGCTGAAAGCAGAGACCGGCAAACTACAGCCCACAGCCCAAATCTGGCCCATTCCCTACTTTTTAAACCAAGTTTTCCTGGAGCAGAGCCACACCCCTTGTTTATGCATTCCATAGCCATTTTCCAGCTACAGTGGCGGTACTGAGGGTCATGACAGAGACTGTACAGCCTGCAAAGCCTAAAATATGTTACTATCCAGCCCTTTGGAGAAAAGGTTTGCCGACCTTTGTTTGAAACGATGGGCTGAACGTGAGAGACAGGGAAGCCTGCCTGGTGTGTGCCAAGCTGCAGATGAGAAACACGGCTGCTTGCAATTAAAATGAAGAGACTCCAAAGGTGAGAGAGACAGCATGGAGACAAGCTGTCAGGAATCCGTAGGTGACCAGGAAGAGTCCAAACTGATGTTAAAAATAGTACTGGCGAGAGGGCACCGTTTAAGATTTACAGTGAAGGAGTAAGGAGAATTATCTGGCTTAGAGAGAAAGAGACGGGAAGAGAGGCAGCCTCAGTTACACATCTCATCTGAAAACTACACGCCACACACCCCGCCTGCTCTGAAGGCATCTGAAGGGTGGAGTCGTGTGGAGTCGGGCAGGAAGTGTGTACCTGTGTCTGAGGAGAGATCACGGCTGCAGATAAAGATGTCACTGTCCTCAGCTGAAGGTACAAGAGTGGGTGAGATCACCGAAGGTGGAAAACAGGGACAGTCAACGCGGGGGGGGGGGGGGGGGGGGGGGGGGGGGGGGGCGACTGATGGGAGGTACACAGCATGAGGCCACGTGCACGGGGAGGGAGCAGAGGAGGGAGGCAGACGAGAACTCCTTTCCCGCAGGGCCGAAGAAGCTTGTGCCTTGGTGCGCCCAGGCAACTCGGCTCCAGGAGCGAAGGACCACCAAGGTCACTGGAAGATCACAGGGAGGCAGCATCACAAGAGGTAATCCCAAGTTTTGCAGGACCTGCTCCAGCCCAGCTGACCTAAAGCACAACTCGCCATCAATGGCCCCATTATAGCGAACGTTAGCAGTGGCGAACCGGACGACCACAAGTGTGGCCGAGGAGCCCCTGCCCAGCGCTAACTGAGCAAACCACTGGCGTCAAGGCGGAACAAAGGTCCAGCTTTGCTCTGGCAATGGCAGATGACTGAAGGTCCCTTGTAACGGTGCCTAAGTACATCACTTCAAAAACAACTAAGCACTGACACCCTCCCTCAGAGCCTGCTGCATACACGGAAACAGCTGTCGTGCAGAGAACGCTTTCTCAATAATGAGGAATTGGGAATGGTCTTCTCTTCTTTTTTGAAGCTTTTATTTAAATTCCAGTTTTTCTCTTCTTTTCTGAAGCTTTTATTTAAATTCCAGTTAGTTAACACAGCATGTAATATTAGTTGCAGGTGGACATCAGAGTAATTCGGCACTTCCACACATCACCCAGGGCTCATCACAATAAGCGCCCCCCTCCATCCCCATCCCCTATTTCGCCCAGGCCCACCCACTCCCCTCTGGTGACCATCAGTGTGTGCTCTACAGTGAAGAGTCTCTTTCTTGGTTTGCCCCCCCACTTTTGTTTCCCTTTGCTCGTTTGTTTTGTTTCTTATATTCCACAGGAGTGAAATCATACAGTATTTGTCTTTCTCCGACTGATTTATTCCACTTAGCATAATACTCTCTATCTAGCTCCATCTACATTGTTGCACATGGCAAGCAATCGTGAATTTTTACACAGCTTAGGGCACTGGGGTGGCTCAGGGCACTGAGTATCTGACTTTGGATCAGGTCATGATCTCAAGGCTCATGAGTTTTGAGTCCGGAGTTGGGCTCTATGCTGTCAGCTTGGAGCCTAGAGTCTGCTTTGGATTCTGTGTCTCCCTCTCCCTCTGCCCCTCCCCCATTCGCACGCGCTCGCGCTCTCGCTCTCTCTCTTTCTCTCTCTCAAAATGAAATACACATAAAAAAATTTGGACCCAGGCTGACGAGTCACTTACCGCAGGCAGAGGGCAGTAGAACTGATGAACCGTGTGCATGACATCCAAGAGCATATTGTGTCCAATAACGAGTTTTCCCTACAGAAAAGTCAAGGTCAGAAAAAAGGCTTCTTGGCACAAAATTATATTGGGGCTTGAGAGTGAAATGTGTGCTTTGGATTCTATGAGGACTTTGTCCTAAACTTACTTTTTGACATTAAATATATGTATATGTGTGTGTGTGTATATATATATACGTATATATATAAATGAACATGTTAGGGTGTTAGATGCAGAATTCAAAGTAAAAGCACCAATGACTTTGATTTAATTGATGTTTTTCTTGGCTTTTTATTCATCTTGCCACCCTTAAGAAACAGAAGTAGTAAAACTTTTATTGAAGAGCTCAAAAAAGGAACTGAAAACACTAACTACCTTGAACTGTCAATAATTTGTGAACAAGACTCCAAATATCTATCCTAGCAGTGTATTCTTTAAAACAACTCATTTATTTTTGAAAGATATATTCAAGAGAACACTGAAAGGTAAAAGAGTAATTAAGTTCGAGTTCTATTAAATGGGAGTAATTTCCATTTCCGTCACATCTATGTCAAAATTCATGTTGGGGGGGCGGTTCTTAAACACCATTTCCAGTGCAATTTGCTGCTTTGCTTTTCAATCAACTGAACTATACAATGTGTTTAATCAATTACTCCATCGTGATAAAAATTTAACTATCAAAATGGAACAATGAAGTAGATTTAGCCAGCCAGGTGACACCGACTTTAACATAAAGTACCTGGTCATTACCGTGGAGCTTCTGACCACGTCCCAGTGCACCCCCAGACTGATACTCCTGGACTCACAGGGCTAACCACAATTCTCGGAAAGAAATAATTCTATACAAAATCCTCCAAATCCAGCAGACAAGCCCTCCTTGCGGCCACAGCAGTAACTAGCACAGCAGGAACCTAGCGCCAGATCCGCTTTCTAAACACCATTATCTAATAAAAGGAACCAGGGCTCCTTGGAGAACGTATAGGTTCTAGAACTGAGGCATGGAAAACACAACATGAGTCTGAACATTCTGCGATGCCAGAGAGGAAGGAGGTGCATGGAGAAGGATGGGGGCCTGTTCAGGGGACATGGGAACCAACCTGAAGAAGCGCTAATGGCCATTTTGAGCAACAAAATAAACAATAAAAATATCAGATGATAATCTGTAGACTAAAATAAATTCCCCAAAGCCCCTGTGCTTCTCAATATGTTTCCAATGAATAAACAAACATGGAATAAGGGACATTATCTCTCTTACAGAAGAATTCCAAGAACAAGTGTAGAAGGAAAGAAGAAAATACAAACTCGCCATTAAAACACCACGGCAATAACGGCTGCGGGCAAAATCCACGAGGATGCTGTGCGGCGGGCAAGAGTTTGAGAAAAAGCGGCATGTTCATAGTCTCATAGGGTCTCCCCCAGTTTATGAGCACAAGGGGATGAATGATAACGTCACAGTGCACAATTCCAGCAGACACCACCTCGACACGTGATCAGGGTCAACATCACGAACTATCATTTCCGTGGGATTCTTGCCAAAACTGTACCTCCTCAATCCTATCATGAGAAAAGCTCAGGCAAACCCAAACTGAGGGATATGTGACAAAACTGCAATCAGAATTCTTTAAGCACATGGAGATTACAGAAGACAGAGAGACTGCTTGGACGGCTGAAGACTAAAGGGAAAGACGAGTAAATACGACGTAGGATCCTGGAAAGAGTCATGAACGGAAAACGGATTCAGTGGGAACAGTGAGGAGGTTCAAGTAAGGTCGAGAGTCTGGTTCATAATATGGTACCAGCACTAATCTCCCGGTTCTGATGCCCCTCTGGTTATTATGAGGCGTCAGCATAAGTGTAGCTGGACGAGCGATCTACGGAAACTCTGTACTATTTTTGCAACTTGTCTGTGGTGTTTTAAGACTATAGAAAACACAGATTTACTACGAAGAGTGGCAGGGAGAGAATGTGGTGTCATATAAATATTTAAGAGTGTTTACTGTTCACTGGCTTTACAGAACTTGACTCTGTTTTTAAAGGATGTGACTTAGAAATGTTAAATGTCTGGATCACTAATAAACGGGACTTTTCTTCGGTAGTATGCTTTGTGACATTACCTACCAACAGTCAGCAACATGCTGTGGATTACTCTGTAGGAGACAGACAACAGGGAGGAAAAACCAACAGATGCACAGCCAGCGAAGGCATCTGAATATGAACCAGGTGAACAAACACCATCAGAAAAGCTACCGGCGCTCAGAGCCAACTGAGGCCCCGCGCGTCTGTATGGGCCAGCCTCAGCCAAGTCCACCGCTTCTCCGCAGCCCGCTGAGCGTGTGCAACGAAAGCAAATGTTACCGGTCCTCCTTCCTTGTCTGGATACCTGTTAATTCAGCCACTTGTGAACAGATTCTCGCCTTTGTTTCCCTCCAGGCTCATCTGGCTTTCTATTCCATTCTGATGACCTCACTCCCTTCACACAAAGAGCTCCCAGCGAGCCAGCCGTCTTTCTTTACAGGGCTCTGGCGCTGCTGCTGTCCCCAGGCGAGGACGGTGGCATGCCTCCGCTCGAGTCCTGACATGACAGCCTGCACCTGGTGATGGGACAGCCACGGAACTCTGGGGGATGTCTACAGCCTTAAAGTGTCCTTGATACAAAGCCGAGCATCTAAACGACAAGATGATTCCTTCTCTTGGGGGGACAATTCCTTCTCCCATGGCCAACGACTCAGAAACACAAAGTCTGAGCTTCCGGGCTATTTAGCAACCCAGCAAGCTGCCTGACTCAGACATGCATCCGCAGAACCGCCAGCAGCCTGACCCAGTTTATCTGCGCAAGATGTGGAGGCCTCTCTGCCAAAGGGACTTAGGAAACAGGCAAAAATGTCTGCCATACCTACCATGGAACCCTCGTGCATAGTTACACAAGTGGTCAACACGTTTTGAAAAATTTATCAAATATCATCAAGGCTATCAGACATAAGATTCAGTTACAGTTAGGCAGAACTCCAGTACTTTTGTTCTCTAGATGCTCCTAATTAAGGAACAAAACACCCTCAGCCAGATACCTGATTATTTCTCCCCATACACCGTCCTTTCTTACTCCACTTCTTATTAGCTTTGAGAATAATAAATGTTAGTTTCATGCAGCCATATAAGGACATCATAGTAGAATCCTCCTGTGTGCTTTACAAGAAAACCTTTTCTTTTTAATTTTTTAAAAGTAATCTCTACACCCAACATGGGCCTCAAACTCCTAATCCCAATATCAAGAGTTAAACGCTCTATTCACTGAGATAGCCAGGCGCTGCTGCATGAAAACCTTCCAACAAATGGTATGGATCCAATCAGCAATTACAATGTCCCACCCAGTGCATTATAACCAGTCTCCCTTCAAACCAGGTAAGCGTTCTACATGTGACCAAAGAGCTAATCCACAATCATAACGAAGCATCTCACCTTAAATGTTATATTTAGGAACCTAGTTAAAAAGAAAAAGCCTCGGGGCACCTGGGTGGCTCAGTCAGTGGAGCGTGTGTCTTCAGCTCAGGTCATGATCTCATCGTTCCTGAGTTCAAGCCCACATCAGGCTCTACACTGATAGCACAGAGCCTGCTCGGGATTCTCTCTTTGCCCCTCCACTGCTCTCACTTCCTCTCTCTCAAAATAAACAATTCAAAAAAAAAAAAAAGAAAGAAAGAAAGAAAGAAAGGGACTCCTGGGTGGCTAGTCAGTTAAACGTACAACTCTTGGCTTTGGTTCAAGTCATGATCTCACAGTTTGTGAGTTCGAGCCCCACAATGGGCTCCATGCTGACAGTGTGGAGCCTACTTGGGATTGTCTCTCTCTCTCCCTCTCTCTTTCTGCCCTTCCTCTGTGTGCATGATCTCTTTTTCTCTCTCTCTCTCAAAATAAATACATAAACTTGAAAGAAAAAAAGAAAGGAAGGAAGGGAGAGCCTGGTTCACTTACCGAATTGGCAATGGCATGAATAACTCTAGAAAATCCCACAGCATCATTCAGTTCTTCCTAATTTAAAGAAACAAACCAAGGAAACTATTGACGTGTATATATTCCTTATTTGAACAGGTTAAAACCCAGCCCCCCAAAAGCACTGAATTGTTACATCGAGTTAGACAGTTCTGTTTCCCATGTTCTGTCTCCATCATTTCAAACAACTGCATCTGAAATGATCGATGTATACACCTCTCTTCTGTTTTAGAACATGGAATGAGCAAGGAGCAAATTATTCATTAGCTACTAAAATAACAGGGCCTAGGGTTTACCCATCAGGGCACATCATTTGCTGAAATTTCCAAGCCTAGCAAGTGGTCTTAAAAACACAAACTTTTCTGCGCTGCCACCTGCTGGCCAAATTTAGCACTGCACTGATTTCTGAGGAAACCCATCCAGCAGCTGACGGCTCAAATCAAGCATTCTCCAAACTCTCCTAGCTTTTTTCATCAAACACATTTTCATACAACATTTATAGCACAGCATTCTGAGACCCATCCCCGCTCGGTTTCTTCTCTCCTTTCTTCCTGATGGGGTTTGATTAGGCTCAATTTGTCCATGTCGCGAGCCCCCGCTGCACCATCTCGCCTCATCACGGCTACATTACTCAAGTCTTATCTCCGCTCGCTAGATCCAGCTTTGCAGCCAGCTACCTGCCACCCTCTGCTCTCTGGCTTCTCCCCCGCCGAAGCTGCTCCTCTCTTTAAACTACTCCCAAAGCTAACAAGCGCTGGTGGGGATGTGGAGAAAACTCTAACACTGGTGTCTTGGTGGTGGAAACATAAAGTGGCACGGTCACTACAGAAAATAGTATGGTGGTTCCTCAAAAAATTAAATATGGGGGTGCCTGGGTGGCTCAGTCGGTTAACTGTCCGACTTCGGCTCAGGTCATCATCTCGTGGTCCAAGAGTTCGAGCCCTGCGTCGGGCTCTGTGCGGCCAGCCTGGAGTCTGGAGCATGCTTCAGATTCTGTGTCTCCCTGTCCTGTTCATTCTCTCTCTCTCTCTCTCTCAAAAATAACTAAACGTTAAAAAAAATTTTTTTAATATATTATTTCCATATGATCCAGCAATTTCATTTCTGGGTATGTACCCAAAGGAATCAAAAGCAGGGACTCAAAGAGACATTTGCACACCCTTAATCATAGCAGCATTATTTCACTGGGATCGAAAGATGGAAGCAACCCAGTGTCCATGAGGCACAAGTGAAGAAAACAGCACATCCAGACAAGGGGCTATTACTCAGCCTAAAAAGGAAGGAAACTCTGACCCTGCTATAACCTGGATGAACCCGGGAGACATCACACTAGGTGAAATAAGCCCGTCACAAAAAGACAAACACTGTAGGATTCCACTCAGAGAAGGGACCTGGAGCAGAGTCACACTCCTAGAGATGGAAAGTAGAAGGGTGGTTGGCAGGGGCGGGGTGGGGGGTAGACAGGGAGCCAGTGTTTAATGGGGACGGAGTTCCGGTTTTGCAGGACGAAAACAGTTACAAGGATGGATGGCAGTGATGGCTACACAGTAAGGTGAACGTACTTAACACTACAGAACTGTACGCTTGGGAACAGTTAGGATCAGGAGCACCTGGAGGGGCTCAGGCAGTTAAGGGTGTCACTTCCACTCAGGTCATGAACTCACAGTTTGGGGAGTTTGTGAGTTCGAGCCCCACATCGGGCTCTCTGCTGTCAGCAAAGAACCCGCTTCCAATCCTCTGTCCCCCTCTCTCTGCCCCTCCCCTGCTCGTTCTCTCTCTCTCTCTCTCAAAAATAAATAAATATTTAGGGGTGCCTGGGTGGCTCAGTTGGTTAAGTGTCTTGACTTCGGCTCAAGTCATGATCTCATGGATCAGGAGTTCAAGCCCCACATCAGGTTGTGCTGAAAGCTCAGACCCTGGAACCTGCTTCAGATTCTGTCTCCTCTCTCTCTCACTCTCTCTCTCTCTCTCCCCCTTCCCTGCTTGCACAATGTCTCTCTCTCTCTCTCTCTCTCTCTCTCAAATATAAAAAATAAAACAGGAAAAAAAATTTTTTATGTAAAGAAATAGAGTAATAAATTTTATGTTCTGTGTCTTTTACCACAGTTAAACATTTTTTTAGCTTTTAAGACTATTTTTTAAAAACCTGACATCCCTATGCAAATTTTTAATGACATTTTCATGGCTTCCTCCCAGACAGACTGTTAGCTCTTAGACAGGAAAGCCAGGAATCCGTTATTCTTGCACCCTCTGTACCTACCATAGTGCTTGAACATATGGGGAGTCGGTTACAACTGGTGAATGACTGATGTGACCCTGACTCCTATACCAGAGCTTGCATTCTCCCTTGCGACCAGAGGCCCCTCTCGTCAAGCGCATGAATTCCTGCAGTGGGGAGTGCTGGGCTGGGCTCCCTGCTAAATATCCCAGTTCCCTGGGGGCTCGGATTTCTGCCTCTTTCTCCTCCGTCCTCTGGGAAACTAGAACAGAGATTTGGAATCTCTCTCTCAAAGATGTTATTAAACTTGTACTGCAACACTTAAAAAAAAAAAAAAGAATTACTTTAAAAGAAGAGCGACTCCTCCGACGGCTACACCCTCAGGGCAGGCCGACTCCTCGCTGTCGGCACCCCTGCCTCGGCGCTCCCTCCCCGGCCGCCGGCCACGGCGCTCTGGGGGCGCCTCTGCTCGCGCCTCTCACGTAAATGCTAGCTCCCTCAGGGCCCCACTGCAGACCAGCCTACCCCGGTTCCTCAGCGCGCCCGGCGCGCCCACCCAGGCCCGTGTCCCTGCCAGCGACGGCCACGCCCGGCCTCACCTCACCGTCCCTCCCGCGCTCCAGAGTGACAAGCCGGCACGGGACGCTCGCCTTGCACGACCCAAGACACCTAAACACCGCACAGGGTCACATCCCCTCCACCCCCGGGGGACGGCTCTGCCACGGCGCCCGGGCGGCCCCGCGCTTATCCACGCGCGCCGCACAGGCAAGGGCCGGAGTCAGGACCGGTCCCCTGGCGCAGCCAGGCCAGGGGCAGCGGGTGGGAGGCCAGCTCCCGCCTGCCTCCCTCTCTCTCCTCGGACGCTGCAGAGGGTTTCTCACCGCTTCTCAGGCTCCGACGAGGCCGAGGCGTGCAGTTTTCGGCCCCTCCCTCCTCTGCAGAATGGAGCCACCGCACAGAAAGGCACTCGGCTGAGGCCTAGAACGGACTCCCCGGGATGAGTAGCCGCAAGTCACGCCGCAGCCCCCTGGCCCCTCTGGTTACGGTGTGCAGGACGGGGACCAGGTGCAGCTGGCACCCCGGGCTGACCCTCCTTCTTTATACAATAAACTGCCTACACCCGACAGTGGCTTTTTGCATCTTTACTGGTTGAATGAGTCCGACGTGGCCCCGACGGCTCCCTGTGTGAGCTCGGGCCTCCCCCGCTGTGTGAGCTCCGGCCCACCCCATCTGCCGTCTGTCTACCCCCCGCCTCCGAGTTCTGGCTTACGTGTCTTTCTTCTCTCCTTTCGCCAGCCACACCCAATCCCAACTTCCACCAGTTCCACCTTCCAAATCCCTCCAGGTTCCACCTCAACCGCTACTCACTATTCTATTCCCGCTCACCGACCCCTCCTGGCCAGGTTACCCCCCCCCCGCGTAACTCCGGTCCTGTCCCTGCAAGCATGCTCCACAGGCACCAGGGGACGGGTGCTGAGAGTGCAGACACACCATGTCAAATCGCCTGCTCTACCCTTTGTTTTAGGAAAACCAGCAACTGCACCTGAGGTTAAACCCAGCGGTACCAGTTGACGGACGTGAGGTTCCGTCCACACAAGGAGAACCAAGAACACTTTCCTCAAGACAGAACCACAAAGGTGAACAGAGGTCAACCACCATGTCAGACTCCCGTTAGTGGCTATGTCTACATTTTTAACCGTTAAGTTGTTCTCACTGTATTCTAGGTTTTTATGCCAGATCAATTCTGCTGTGATAGGAAACTACTCATTAGGACGAACGTGACACATGATCTGCAAACACACAGAAAGGACTAAATCAGTACCTAGGTGCTGTTTCTCACCCACAGGACGTGAGCATGACTCCATTACCTGCTCTTTCGCGTGTTTCTGCTGCTCTCTCCTTTTACGTTCTTCTTCATCTACTTTGCTGATGACGATGTATCGCTCCTTCTGAAAGACACAAAGCAGACATAGAACTTTCTGGGAGCAAATGGACTGCAAGCAACTCAGATCCTGCTACCATTTACAGTTAAACATTTTATCACCACACAGCTTTCATGGGCTAAATACCCTGAGAACATTCTGAAATGCCGCCAAAAACTGAGTGGATGCATTTACAAACCAAAATTCTGTCTCTGCAATGACATCCCCTTTCCCTGCAGTTTATTAACTCACCGCAACAGACTTCAGAAGTACCAACAGACTATGAGAATAAGACACCTTCCACGATGAACATGAAGAAGTTACAATGCATGTGAACATGAATTTCTAAATAGCTAGTTTTAAAATGTCTACCGTAAGCAGCAAGCTCTGAGATCTTGGCTGAAGCAACTTTTTAATAGACACATCACCAGAGGCCAGGGAAACAAAAGCAAAAATGAACTACTGGGACTTCATTAAGATAAAAAGTTTTGCACAGTGAAACACTCTATAAAACTAAAATGCAACCAATGGGATGGGAGAAGATATTTGCAAATGACATATCTGATAAAAGGTTAGTATCCAAAACCTATTATGAAACTCAACACCCAAAAAACAAATAAGCCAGTGACAAAATAGGAGAAGACATGAAGAGACATTTTTCCTAAGAAGACACCCAGATATGGCTAACAGACACATGAAGAGATGCTCAGTATCACTCATCATCAGGGACACAAATCAACCCCCTCACACCTGTCAGAATAGCTAACATGAACAACACAAAACGCAGGTGCTGGCACGGAAGCAGAGAAAGGAGAGCCCTCTTGCACTGTTAGTGGGAATGCAAACTGGTGCAGCCGCTCTGGGGAACAGCATGGAGGTAGTTCTAAAAACAGAACTACCCAACAATCCAGCAATTGCACTATTAGATATTTACCAAAAGATACAAAAATGCTGATTTGAAGGGGCACATGCACTCCAATGTTTATAGCAGTGCTATCAACAATAGCCAAACTATGGAGAGAACCCAAACCCGAATGTCCATACTGATGAATGGATAAAAATATAGTGTGTGTGTGTGTGTGTGTGTGTGTGTGTGTACACACACCAACGCAATATTTATTACTCAGCCATCAAAAACAATGAAACCTTGCCATTTGCAATGACATGGATGGAGCTAGAGCATATTTTGCCAAGCTAAATAAGTCAATCAGAGAAAGACAAAGACCATCTGACTTCACTCAGATGGGGAATTTAAGGAACAAAAGAAATGAAAATAGGGGAAGGGGAAAAAAGTGGGGGGGAGGGGGAAACAAATCACAAGAGACTCATAATGACAGAGAACAAACAAGGTTGATGCAGGGAGGTGGGTGGGGGGTGGATGAGAAGGGGGATGGGCACCGAGGGCACCTGTCATGGTGAGTGAGCACTGGGTGTTATACAGAAGGGATGAATCACTGAGTTCTACTCCTGAAACAAGTATTGCACTGTATATTAACAACAACTTAAATTTTTTCAAAAAATGAAAAATAAAATGTGTGCATCGCATTTCAATGACATATGAAAACTATTCTGGGTTTCTAGGGGGCTAGTCCGAAAACCAGTCCTTTCTTTCTCATAGATCCCGTTTTGCATCAATTAAGCACACCACATTGTGTCAAAGCTTGAAATTGGTCTTCGAGCAAGATTTTTTTTTTTATTTACTTAATCTCTCATTTCATTTGATACCTGATTTAAGAGTAACATCAGGGAGTGAAAAAAAGCCACAACAAAATTCCAAAATTCTACTAACGGAACCCACCATCGGCCTCCCATCAGCCGTCACGGTTCCATCAGCACACCTTGGGAACGCAAGCCTGAATGTATGCCCAACACTCACGCTTACGCCCCAGATTCTAGAACTGCGCTTCATATGCCCGGCTAACAGGAAGACAGATTTTCGTGCAGAACGCTACAGCTTTCCGCCGGAAGAGGAACACATGCTAACATTTGCACACTTTCAAGTTTACAAAGCATGTTCATGTCCGCTAACCGGCGTGATGACCCGAGAACCGCTGTGAGACAGGCACAGACCACCATCATCATGCTCATCTCCAGGGTTCAAAGGAGGAAGAGGAGGCTTAGAGAATGAGACCCCAGGCCGCCCAGCTCACAGGAAGCAGAGCCAGGAGTCAGTTCTGAGTCTCAGCACATCAGTGCATCATTGCATGCGTTTGGCCCTGGACAGTTTGTGGGGTTACCTTTTCGGTTTCTAAAGTCTCAACGTGAATGCCTTTGGGATACCTAAAGGAGAGAGACATACCAGCACATTACTAGATGAGCCAATGACAGCTAAAGCCCTAGGTATTTTAAAAAACAACTCAACAGCGATATTTTAAGAGGTTTTATCAAATATAAAATAAACACTCCTACAACAATGACTTTATAGTAAACCTATCCCATAATAACTTCAGGTACTAAATGTTTCCCCATGTTTCATGCTTGAAAATGCAGGAGTGTAAGGGTGCCTGCGTGGCTCACAGGTCAAGGGTCCGACTCTTGATTTCAGCTCAGGTCATGATCTCATGGCTGCTGTCAGCACAGAGCCTGCTTTGGATGCTCTGTCTTCCTCTCTCTCTCTCTCTCTCAAAAATAAACATTAAAAAAATAAAAACTAATTAAAAAATTCAGAGTGTATCTGATTTCAAATTAACTTTTTAGGAAGCAGGCATCATGCTTCTAAATATAATAATGATTACTTCCTAAGTGAAATTCGGCAGGTCGTTTCAGATGGTGTGGGGCATACACAGAGGAGGTATGAGAGAAGGGGCCTCTACTGCAGCCTGGCACTGCAGTGTGCGTCAGCCCAGGAGAGGGATCCAGAACCCCGTGGAGTCCACTGCAGGGACAACAGGACAGGCAGGGAGCCTCGTCAGAGGACGGTGGCCCTTCTCCAGTTTTGTTCAAAGTAAATTCCAAGTACACGCATCACGGGGGGGTGCCAACAGAACACGGGCCCCAAGGAGAGTCGAATGCAGGCTTCCCCCTGCTCGACACTGAGGTTCAATTTGGGCTCGAGGTCTGCTTGAAAGTACAGTGAAACCGATGGAAGCACCTCCAAAAAAATACAGGCACACAATTCTGGATATTATTTCAGGGGGTTCACAGACCTCCTGAAGCCGACCCATGGGCTAAGCCCTGCCTGAGAGAGAGCATTCACCTGAGTTATTCCCTAGATCTTAAAACCCAATCTTTATTATTTAACCTTCAAAGAACAAAACACTATACACCGGGAACTTAATGAACCTCTGGCCAAAGTGACAACTGAAAGAAAATTTAAAAGGCTTAAAAGCATCTGCTACGAAATAATAACAAAGACAATTAGTGGGTATTCAAGGAACATACGCAGTAAGGGGAAGCTCAATAAAGCAGTGCCCCAGAACAAAGTATGGTCAAATCACCAAGAATGCAGAATCTCAGAAGTGAAAGGAGAGCTAAGAGATGATATTTAGCTTTCCACCCCGGGTCCCTCACAGAGCTCTCACATGTAATATAAACACTTACTTCCAGCTCAAAGTCTGATAAATTAGTTTTCTTTGGAACCTATAAAAACAAAAGAGAAGGTACTGATTGAGGATCATTACAAGAAAATCCTAGCTGATCAAGCACTGGTTGGGAAAGACATTTAATTTTTAAGAGCGACTCTCTGAGAAGTGACAGGTGTCACACAAACAAAACCCAGTGGATGTATGAGGCGGCAGGACCACCCACCCTCCAGCTTCCTCAGAATGTTCTCTAACATTATTGCAGCGCATGGGTCGAAGAGGGAGAAGTCCTTCTCCAACCCCAGTGTTACTTCCTGTGGCTATACAAGGAGTTTAAAGTAGACACACACACTGAAGCACTTCTGTGAAGCTGGTCATAAATGATTTAAGTCACTGCCTCTCGAAACACAGAGAGAAATTAAAAGGACGGTGAGTTCTTCTCTTTGAAGCCTTCATGTATTAAGTGCCCCTAGAGGCTAAAGTTAACTAAGCCACGCTGGAGCATAACTTAAAGCTAAAGGGGCATCAAGGGATCTTTCTCCTCCAGGACAGGACAAACTGTTCATTCGGTGTCTCAATATACCATTGTCCCCACTGTGTTAATGCTAAAGTTAGGGTTTACCTCTTGGGAACATACCTATAATAAAAAGACTATTTATGAATGTGGGTTTAAAAGACCAAAATGAAATACGCCAGAAATCAGCCACTCTCCAAAAAAAGAACATGTGAAAATATTTAGGGCGACTTACCCAGTACATGGCTCTAAATCCAAGTTCTTGTTTTCTTCACTTTGTAATAAATCTTCTATTTTCTCTCTGAAGAGTTAAAATGAAAAATCACCATCAATACCTTTCAGGAATGAAGCCATCAGCCAACGGATTAATTAATCATATTCAGAAGCAATTTAAATATAAGAACACAGGGGCGCCTGGGTGGCTCAGTTGGTTAAGTGTCCAACTTCGTCTCAGGTCATGATTTCGTGGTTTGTGAGTTCAAGCCCTGCGTTGGGCTCTGTGCTAACAGCTCAGAGCCTGGAGCCTGTTTCAGATTCTGTGTCTCCCCCTCTCTCTGCCCCTCCCCTGCTCATGCTCTGTCTCTCTCTGTCTCTCGATAATAAATAGAAATATTTAAAAAAGTTAAGAAAAAAAAAAAGAACACAGGACAATGTAACTCTACCCAATCAGGTTATAAGTTTTAAGTTATACTTAGAATTATATCTGGTTATACGTAAAGAAAAATACTTTACTTGGACATACTCTTTTCGTTGTTGTTCTTCCTGAGTTAGTGACAACTTCTCAAGGATTCATCGATACAAGGGATTTAAATTTTTACTTTTCTAGGGGAGGAGGGGGGAGGGTCGAGCAAAACGGGTCAAGGGGAGAGGGAGATAGAGACAGGCCTCCAGCTACGGAATGAGTAAGTCACAGAAACAAAAATAGAACATAAAGAATACCATCAATGATAGTATAACAGTGACACAATGGGATGGGACAGACGGTGGCTACACTTGTGAACACAGCATGACATACAAACTCATCAACTCACTAAGCTGTACACCTGAAACTGATGTAACAGCGTGTTGACGACACTCAAATAAAATTAAGTATTTAATTTTTACTTTCTAGGAAAGCAGTTATTCTGAAAACTCAGTAAAACCAGACACTCCCCCAATGGCACACGAGCTTGTCAGAAATTTCATTCAAAGAAACAAAATGAGGGGCGTCTGGGTGGCTCAGTCAGTTAAGCATCTGACTCTTGATTTCGGCCCAGGTCATGATCTCACAGTTTGCTATCAGCACAGAGGCTGTCTGGGATTCTTTCTCCTTCCCTCTCTGCCCCTTCCCTAATCAGGTTCTCTCTCTTAAAATACATATATAGGGGCGCCTGGGTGGCTTAGTCGGTTAAGCGTCCGACTTTCACTTAGGTCATGATCTCATGGTTCGTGGGTTCGAGCCCCGCGTCGGGCTCTGTGCTGACTGTCAGCTCAGAGCCTGGAGCCTGTTTCGGAGTCTGTGACTCCTTCTCTCTCTGACCCTCTCCTGCTCACGCTGCCTCTCTCTCTCTCCTAGAAGTAAATAAAACATTAAAAAAAATTTAAAAAAAATAAAATAAAATAAAATACATATATAAAATTTTCCTTAATTAAAAAAAAATACCAAACAAACAAAAATGTGGGTATGTTGCAAATACCCAGCTAGGCCTGTTTCATTCCTCTGCCTTCGGGGAAACGGGACAGTGGTTATCGGGCCCCTGATCCATTCCCACTGGATCCAAGTGGGAAGCCTGCCCACTTGCCGAGCTAGTCTCTTTCCTAGCGATGTGGCAAGTCTAAGTACAGTACCCAGAACCCTAGGTCACAATGTGCTGTGATTACACCGATTCAGATATGGCCCACCTGAATCCTGCCACTCAGGATATCACGCCCGTGTGTGCGGTGCTCACAAGCCTGAGCCACAGACCTCAGTCCTGCCCCGACACACATTTATGTCATGCACACTTTCGGTCTGGGAACTTACACCACTTGGTCAATAAACTTCTTCTGATCCTCAGGGATCGTCACAGGACACTTTGACGCGTTGGGGGAAACATAAGCCAGGGCGCCCGAACCGTCGGACTGCAGGCGTTTCTCGTCGTACTGCTCTCTCAGCTGCCTTTCTTCTTCCTGATTTAAATAGGGAATTCCTAAGTGTAATTTTAAAAAGAATGCATTAGCAGAGGTGACTAAACATAAAAATCTCACCATAAAAAGTTTTTTTTAGCAAGCCAGTGAATCTAAAATTCTCAGGCAAGACTTACCATATTTAACTACATCCCCCAAAAAAACATCAACAGAAAAGGGAAATGGTTTTGAAATACGATGGTCTTTGCATTCACGCCATGCATTCTTCCCTCAACAAATGTTTCTTTGGCACTTACGCCGAGCCACTGGGCATGGGATCTAACAGGGAACAGAGCAGACACCTCCCACTCTGTAGTGAAGAGAAGGACTTTCGACAGGAAGATCAGAGAAGGCCATTGCGAGCAAAGAATGAAAGGATAAGGAGGAGTCAGGCCAGCAAGGAGCCAGAAGAGTATTTCAGGCAGAAGAAAACCATAAACGCCCAGAGGATTGAATGGTGTGGACAGTCTCCAAAACCAGCAAGGAGTCGGCATCACCAGAACACAGTGAACAGAAGAATGTTTCCCCGTCAGCATGGAGACAGGGTGCATGACTGCGCAGGCCTTTATAGGCCGTGATGAGAATGTTTGGTTCAGGGGCGCCAGGGGTGCCTGGGTGGCTCAGTCAGTTAAGTGTCCAACTTCAGCTCAGGTCATGATCTCACGGTGTGGGAGTCTGAGCCCCGCACGGGGCTCTGTGCTGACAGTTGGGAGCCTGGAGCCTGCTTTGGATTCCATGTCTCCGTCTCTCCTGCCCTACCCCTGCTCGTGTTCTCTCTCTCAAAAATAAACATTAAGAATTTGGGGGAAAAAAAAGAATTTGCTTTAATCAAAGAGCAATGGAATGCCGTTAGAAGGTTTTAAGCAAGACAATTACATTATCGGCTTCTTGGTTTTTTTTTTAAGTTTTTTTTTTTTTAACATTTATTTAATTTTGAGACAGAGCACGTGCTAGGGAGGGGCAGAGAGAGAGGGAGACACAGAATCTGAAACAGGTTCCAGGCTCTGAGCCGTCAGCACAGAGCCCGATGCAGAGCTCGAACCCACAGACGGCGAGATCATGACCTGAGCCGAAGTCAGACACCCAACCGACTGAGCCACCCTGGCGCCCCTCTGCTTCTTGTTTTTAAAAGGTCATTTCGACTCCCATGAGGGTTGAAGTAGGGAAGTCAGTTAAAAGCAACTGTCCAGGCAAGAGATAACTTTCTCATAGAGTATACAGTAAATGTTTTAGGCTTGTGGGCTGCATGGGGAATCTCTGTTGGAACCAATCAACTCTGCTCTTGTAACATGAAAACAGTCACACACAGTGGGCAAATGAATGGGCATGGCTTTATTTACAATAAGACTTTAACAAAATGGGCTGTGGGTCATGGTTTGTGACCCAGCTTAGACTAGAGATGGAGAGAATGAGTACAGAGATAGGAGAGACAGAACCTACTGATACACCGGAATGGAGGGAGAAAGGGAAGAGCAAAATCAAAACTGAGACATGGCTGTTAGGTGTAAGCATTTGGGAAGATGGCATGCCCACTTACAGAGGTAGGGAGCACCAGGCACAGAGTAACTTTGGGGCCCAACAGATGAAAATCAAAACCTACCACCTGAATGCATTAAATCAGCTAAGGATATATATAAATTAAGGGTTGTGGAACACTCAGGAGAAAGGTAATGAGATATAAATTTAGGTATCATCAGGATATGGGTGGCATTACAAGTCATGGGACAGTAATGGACTTTCTACAAGGACAGAAATAGAAAAATCACCATTTATCACCAATACTAATCATCGCATGCAAGAATCATCAGTGGATGCTAAAACTAATTGGTGGAAAAGGTGATCAGCGTCAATAACACCAATAGTCACACATTAATGTACTTAATAGTACGCGAGGTGCATGCAGTCACTGGTGATGAGACCCACGGGGCTCCCAAGGGCAGAGACGGCTGGGGGCAGGGGGGATGGGAGGTGGGGGAGCTGGAAGCAAAGATTGCTGAGCACCTGGTCAAGAAACAGATGAGACGGAGCATTTGTTGGTCACCCACAATGAGGAGAGAGTTAGGAGTGGAGACAGAAGGCCAAAGGCAAGGCTGTTGGGAAAGCCACGCCCATGAAATCAGCAGAAAGAGGGGTGGCAGAGCCCGTGACGCATCCTGAGAACTGTGGCTCCTGGGAAGAGGGAATCCACGTGGCTGTTACATGGCATGGCAGAACAAGGACACCCAAGGATGCCTCCCGGAGATGGGGGGCAGGAGTGGGGGAACCACTGTGCTCCAGAGGGCTGCAGGGGATGCGCGGCAGAGGAGTCACCTGGTGCTGTTTCAGCTCAGGCAAGGAAGTGAAAGGCACTTCCAAGAAGACTGCCAGGAAAAAAGCGTCTGGCATTTGCGGAGCCCGGGCACAAAGAACTGATAAAGAAGAGAAGGGAGGGTCTAGATCAGATTGAGTGAGCAACAGCGTGGGATGAAGAGTCTGGCAATGACAGATGTCCTGGGAACCCTGATTCAGTTGTGACGAAAATACTCCGAGGTCTGACTTATAAAACGAGGAGAACGAGGCACGTTCCAATTTGGCCGTTTCTCTCCTTTAATGAAAATAAAGCCATCAGGCTGGAAATTATACATCCGTAGGAGCCTGGTTAAAGCAGTTCCCTCAACAGATTTTCGTACTTCTTCCAATAGCGTGCTCTCACTACATCTCCAACTTGTATTTGATAACAGCTTTCATAGACAGGTCTGAGCCAAAGGGAAAAAATTTTTAGCATACCCAACCTGCGCTGCCCAGCTGGTTCATGCACTACTTGAGCGGTTTGGGCTCCAAAATGCTTTTTTTTTCCCCCCAAAAATAAAAAACACTGGGGTATCTGGGTGGCTCAGTCGGTTAAGCGTCCAACTTTGGCTCAGGTCATGATCCCATGGCTTGTGAGTTCGAGCCCCACATCAGGCTCTGTGCTGACAGCTCGGAGCCTGGAGCCTGCTTCAGATTCTGTGTCTCCCTCTGTCTCTGCCCCTCTCCCCACTCGCACTCTCTCAGTCTCTCAAAAATAAACTTTAAACATAAATAAATAAACTAAAAAAATGGTTTTTTTAAAATAAAATAAAATGAAGAGTTGGTGAGGCCTCATCAGGGCAAAATGAAGTAGCACCTACCCTCCCCGTTCATGGCTGACTGGGCTAACGGTTTTCAAAGGCATATATTAAAAGTTTTTTACAACTCTAAGTCTACACATGATGCAGCAGGACCCTGAGATTCTGTCTCAGATGCAGGCACAGAAAGATCGTTCTCAACCAAATTCAAATTTACAAGCGCTAAGGAGAGGTCAGATGTAATCTTACCATTGCGAAAAACTTTATTAAAATCAAATCCTTGGCTTGCTAGAAAGTCAATGCTTGAGCTCTGAAACAAGAGGGAACAGAACATACATTTTGGTGATGCTGGTGGCAGACATGTGAATAGACACAGAGAAAGAACTCAGACAAGTAAACAAAGGCAGCCAGGCAAGGAAGGAGCAGGCCAAGGTCAGAAAATTAAGATTTCTACTCCAAGGCCGCCACATAAGCCATTCATTTAAACACTCCGGGCTCTTCTCCTTCATGGCTTATAAACAAACACCCTTTCTTTCATAATATTTAAGAAAATCTTATTGGGTAAACATCACATTCTCCCAAGAGGCAGAAAATTCATGATGGCTGAACTGAGTAGGAAACTACGAAAAGAAATAAAAAGTATTGATATTATCTGACTCCCCCCCCCCCAACGCCCCAGTTCTAGTTCAAAGTGGCTCACATGTGGAAAGAAGCCTTAACACATCAATATCCACCTCAAGGTAGATCCTGATAACTGGATCTTCTTAACATTCAAGATTAAAATAGAGAAAAGTTGGGGCGCCCGGGTGGCTCAGTCGGTTGAGCGTCCGACTTCGGCTTAGGTCATGATCTCACAGTTTGTAGGTTCGAGCCCCGCATCAGGCTCTGTGCTGACAGCTCAGAGCCTGGAGCCTGTCTTTGGATTCTATAACTCCCTTTCTCTCTGCCCCTCCCCTGCTCACGCTGTCTCTATCTCTCTCTCAAAAATAAATAAAACATTTAAAAAATTTTTTTTAATAAATAAATAAAATAAAATAGAGAAAAGTTCTTGGTAACAAGACTTCTTTTTTTTTTAATGTTTTATCCATTTCTAGGAGAGAGAGAGAGAGACACAGTGTGAGCAGGGGAGGGTCAGAGAGAGAGGGAGTCATAGACTCTGAAACAGGCTCCAGGCTCCGAGCCGGCAGTCAGCACAGAGCCCGACGCGGGGCTCGAACCCACGAACCGCGAGATCATGACCTAAGCGAAAGTCGGACGCCCAACCGACTAAGCCACCCAGGCGCCCCAGGACTTCTTAAACAAACATATCTCAAATATACAGTGAGCCAAAATACAGAAGTAAATGTCACAAAAATGTTAAATAAATGCTACCACACATGGCACACAAGGATGGCGAAAACCACAAAGTTCTGGACTCAACCTAACGGAAGAGCAAGAAATAGGACCACAGCTACTCTAAAGTCTTCTCAGAGCATGAAGGTGACATGCCTGGGTCATTTTAATCTGGTTCCTCACAGAACTACCTTTCCTGAACTGTACTGTGAGAGGACCCCTTCAGCCCAGATGAGGCCGCTGTGTCCGTCCCATTCCTTGTGACAGTGTTCCCTTTGGGATATACGTGAAGACAAGACTATCTATGTGCGTGATTTCCTTATAATAGGGGGCAAATGTCCTGAGGGCTCTAGTCTGAGCAAAGCTCCACTTCTGAGCCCTGGTTTGTGCTGATCCAGTGGACCACAGAAGTGACTGTGTGTTTCCCCTGTCTTAGCTGCCAGGAAGTGCAAAGACTTTCTTTGGCACAAATTTCTGTGTCCTAATCACACCGCAGGAATCCTATCTTCATCTTACATTTCTTCCAATTTTTCCTTGACTCATTTTGTAAGCCTTATGTTAAAAAGTAAATACTATATTTATCTTTATCAACCAACAGATTCTTCTTAAAAAGTGATGGGATGTAAATGGCAATCTTACCCCCCCGCAAACATACACACACACACACACACACACACACACACACACACACACACAGGTACGTGCACATTATTTTCATTATCTCCAGGATCTCTGTGGTTTAGAACAAGCAACGTTTCACTCCACATCTTCCCTTTTTATCCTGTTCCGAACCATGATACAACGTCTTCTGACTTGGGCCACAAGCCTCCTTTCTATCAGGCCTCAGTATTGGTACAATTCTGCCCACCAGAACATTCCATCACTGACAGAGGCACTGAAAGATGGATTACAGAAAGGCATTTCTGTCCTCTTTTCACTAGACTCCAAAACACCCTAACTTCTTTTTCTTTAAACATCCAGTCAGGGGCACCAGGGTAGCTCAGTCCATTAAGCGTCAAACTCTTAATTTCAGCTCAGGTCATGATCTCATGGTTGTTGGGATTGTTCCCACATCGGGCTCTGTGGTGTGAGCAAAGCCTGCCTGGGATTCTCTCTCTCTCCCTCTCTCTGTACCTCCCCCATTCCCATGTGGTGTGTGCTCTCTCTCTCACTCACAATAAATAAATAAACTTTAAAGAAATAAACAAAATAAATATCCAGTCAAAAGTTCATCTGTTTTTGAAGCTCTGTATTTTCCTCCCAAACACCACCTTTCAAGTTATAAACAACAGAAATGTACTTAAAGCCACTGAACTTAGAATTACTTAAAACTTTTCCATGCATATGCCTTATGACTCAGCAATTTCCCTTCTAGGAAATCTATCCTATAAAAATATTCCTATACACATGGGGTGCCTGGCTGGCTCAGTCAGTGGAGCGTGTGCAACTCTTGATCTCGGGGTCACGAGTTTGAGCCCCACATTAGACATAGAGCTTACTTTAAAAAAAAAATCCTATATATACACAAAGATACACTGCACATGAATGTTGACTCTAACATTACTTAAAAGAGAGAACCTTTGGAAACTTACAAATTCCAATTAAATAAATTACCCACACCCACACTGTGAAAATATGTACAAAGTGTTGAGTGGAAAATGCATGTTATTTAAAATAGGAGTATCAGGATTAAAGAAAAGAGCTAACATTATATACACGTGTGTAGACCCATGGATACAGATGCTCCCTGACTTAACAATGGTTCAACTCGGGATTTTTCCACTTCCTGGTGGCGCACTCAGCAGAAACTATGCTTCAAGTTTGGACCTTTCCCAAGCTGGTGATACACAGTGCGATACTCCCTCATGAGGCTGGACAGCGGCAAACACAAGCACTCACAAGTATGCTATGTTTCACTTTCTTTTTCTTTTTTTTAAATGACTGTTTTTATTTTGAGAGAAGAGACAGAGTACAAGCAGGAAAGGGGCAGCAGGAGAGGGAGAAAGAATCCCAAGTGGGCTCTGCACTGATGGTAGAGCCCGATACGGGGCTCAGTCTTACAAAACATGAGATCATGACGGTGCCTGGGTGGCTCAGTCGGTTGAGCGTCCGACTTCGGCTCAGGTTATGATCTCGCAGTTCATGGGTTTGAGCCCCGCGTCGGGCTCTGTGCTGACAGCTCGGAGCCTGAAGCCTGCTTCAGATTCTGTGTCTCCCTCTCTCCCTGTCCCTGCTCCCCCACCCCCCATCTCTCAAAGATAAACATTTAAAAAAATTTTTTTAATCACTCTTAGAGGGGCGCCTGGGTGGCTCAATCGATTAAGTGTCCGACTTCAGCTCAGGTCATGATCTCATGGTTAGTGGGTTCGAGCCCCACGTCGGGCTCTGTGCTGACAGCTCAGAGCCTGGAGCCTGCTTCAGATTCTGTGTCTCCCTCTCTCTCTGACCCTCCCCTGTTCATGCTGTCTCTCTCTCTCTCAGAAATAAATAAAAAGCATTAAAAAAAAAAAAAAAGAAACCTTAATCACTCTTGGAAAGCCTTAATCATTCCTGGAAAGCTCTTATCGCCATTTAAGTAGATGGAGTTTGGGAGCCAAGCAACTGAATGTGCTCTTTGCAGAGTAAGTGTCTGTTCACACAGTGAGATGATCACACACTGGGCAGGACGTGGAAGAATGGGCAGACCGTGAACCACACACACTCCCAGGGAATGCACCCATCCAGGGGGATGGCAGGTGTTTACGCTATTTAAAAACATTTTTGAGTATAGTTCATACAGAATATTATATTAAAGTGCACAACACAGTGATTCACTATCTCTGTACGTCACGCTGTGCTCCCAAGTGTAGCTACCACGTGTCACCCTCCAAGAATATTACAACATCACTGACTATGTTCCCTATACTGTACCTTTTGTTCCCATGACATATTCATTCCAAGCCCAGAAGCCTGTACTTTCCACTCCCCTCCACCCATTTTGCCCATCCACCCTTCTTCTCCTCTGGCAAAAGAGCCCAATGTGGGGCTCAAACTCATGAACCCAGCCATCGCTCAAGAGTTATTTTTGACTAGACACAATTTTCACCCTGCTCTCTGAGTTGAAAAGCTAACTTCCTTCCTAAGATTCAAGTGCTGCAGTCTTAGAATTTTAAACAGAACCCGGGCCCCTGGGTGGCTCAGTTGATTAAGCGTCTGACTTCAGCTCAGGTCATGACCTTGTAGTTTGTGAGTTCAAGCCCTTTGTCGGGCTCTGTGCTGACAGCTCAGAGCCTGGAGCCTGCCTTCAGATTCTGTGTCTCCCTCTCTCTCTGGCCCTCCCCAACTCACTCGCTCTCTCTTTCTCTCTTCCTCAAAAATAAATAAACATTAAAAAAATTTTATTTTTTAACAAAACTAGAAACCACCCTAGATGGAGAACCAAAACAAGAAAAATCAAAAATATTATCATTCACTTTAATGTTTTTTTAATATTTATTTTTGAGAGAGAAAGACAGAGCACGAGCGGGGGAAGGGCAGAGAGAGAGGGAGACAAAGAATCTGAAACAGGTTCCAGGCTCTGAGCTGTCAGCACAGAGTCCAAGGTGGGGCTTGAACCCACAAACTGTGAGATCAGGGCCTGAATAGAAGTCGAACACTTAACCAAATGAGCCACCCAGGCACCCCAAAAATACTATCATTCACTTTAGCCAAACAATTCACAAGTTCACATACTGAGTCTAAATCTTTTCTCTGCCTTTGTTTTTTCAGACTAAAAAACTGTAACATGCTTATCCCACTGTCCACTTTAGACAGGGGTCGCTGGCCTATTCAAATCTATCATATTTTTTTCTAGAGTGTGGCTAGCAACTAGAACTAGATTAAATATTCCAGGCGTAGCCAAAGAATAGCTTTGTACAACATATAGATTCTTCTGATCCACTTCTAGCGCATCTCCTAGAGTAACTAATTGTGTTGTTACTTTAGAACAAAGCCTCATCCCAAAGGTGTCTCATTGCCAATGTCCACTTTTGCCTGACTGACTCCCAGCTAAAGCCAGGGAACCCACTTACACTTCTGTCTTCTCCTGGTACTGCTGGAAAACTCCAGAATCTATAAATGCTGTTTAATTAGTATCCCCTACTAAGGGAGCTGTTAAATAATTATTAACCAGTTGCGGAATAAAGGCCTACTTGGACACTTGAGAAACCAGGTTACAAGACCAAAAGTGCCTTCACCTTTCGGCTTTAGCCACAGGCATATGATTAACTCATAATTTCACTTGTTTATCTCTTGCCATATTACACAAAGAATCTGCCGTGGCTCAGTCACTCAGAAGCCTCCCCTCCAGGCTTTCGTAACTGCATTACGACTTACGTGCACGAGAAGGGAAGGATGGCAATGCTCACGTGAACTAATGCTGCCACCCGGAGAGAAGGGAGGACACAAGATCGGAAGGGAAAAAAGATCGGCCCTCATCTCTAATCACACATCCGTACGTTACACGGCTTATTCACGCCCTCCGTATCCGCGACCCCAGATAACTTAAGAGCACAGGAAGAGGAAACTGATATTTAGTGACTGCCAGCTAGGCTCCAACGCTAAAGGTGGTGTTCTAAATAGGAACCTCCCCGTGTCCTCACCTTGGCTCATCAGGTCTGCCCTCTCCACCTCAGGAGGAAACTGTGGACTCTTTTTCCTAACTGGGGACCTTGGGGAAAAGAAGTGAGCATAAGCAGTGTAGCCCCTTCTGGGTTCTCTTTTTATTTATTTATTTTTTTCATATAATTTATTGTTAAATTGGCTTACATACAACACCCAGTGCTCATCCCAACTGGGTTCTCTCTTTGTAAACAGGATGCATGTGTACTCTTTTCCTCTAGAAAAGAAAGCTCCACCCTTAGAGATGGGTACAAAGAGAATGGGCTGGGAAGAAGCCTGAAGGGCCGGATCTATAGGTTCAAATCAGGGGCCAGGCATCAAAAATCCCAAACAGAGCCACCTTACAAAGCCACGTTCCCAAAGTCGGCTTTGCTCATAATAGACCTTGTGTTCTGGTGTCCACCTGCCTGTCTCTTGCTCTAATCCCCTGATTCTGAAGCAAAGAGGAAGACGGCACTGTCGTTCATTCGCGACCCTACAACTGCAAGTCAGAGAGGTGAAATGGTGTGCCAAAAGCCCAAAGGTAGCAGTAGAACCAAACTTTAAAAAAGAATTCTGTTTCCACATTTCCACATGGCCTCATCATAACAGAAGAAAATCAATTCTGCTACCAACCTGACAAACAAACTTGACATCTGGTGAGGCTCTATTGAAGGGTTTCGGGAAAACGTAGAAGTTAAATGACTTTGTTATATACCTGGGGGAAATAAGATAAAAGGGGACTTAGTGGGTTACATTACGGCACGAGAAAAGAAATCCACTGCTTGTTAAAACAACCTACTTTGAATCTGTGTAGTCATACTTAAAAGTGCAAAGGCCAAACTGAAACAGCAAAAAGTCCATGGAATGCTGGAAAAGGTAAACAAAACATCAATTCAGTGCTGTCTGTTCAACGAGACAAGAGTACACACAATCAGGGGCGCCTGGGTGGCTCAGTCAGTTAAGCTTCCGACTTCAGCTCAGGTCACGATCTCACGGTTAGTGGGTTCGAGCCCTGCGTCAGGCCCTGTGCTGACAGCCAGTTCAGAGCCTGGAGCCTGTCTCAGATTCTGTGTCTCCCTCTCTCTCTGACCCTCCCCTGCTCATGCTGTCTCTCTCTCTCAGAAATAAATAAAACATTAAAAAAAAAAAAGAGTACATGCAATCAGGTGGGCTTCCTAACTACTCGACTGGACTTTTAGCAGAATACTTCCAATTACAACAGGCTACACCTTATGTGTCAGAAGCATTAATTTATAAACGCTTCTTAATATTTTTCCCAATTAACCACCAATCCACCAACCAGAGCATCACAGCAGGCCGATCTGCAAACGATTACTATCACCCCATTCTATTTCCTATCAATCAAATTAACTCTGAAAATACTAAACCTTCCCCAATATGTTTTCCAGCAAACAATTATTTTTGCTGTTGTTTTTAACATTACTAAAATATCAGTTCCCAACTGGGGTACAGAAGTTAACGTGCAAGTTGATGATAATATTTCTTTACAATTCAACAGAAGGAAGCCCAACATGGAGGAGAAAATGACTTTTCTAGCACATTCACTTACTTTTTTAAGCTTCTGATACCTTTCTTCTGGAGTGTCAAAACCATTTGTTAACGCAGTGACTGAGGGTCCATCACTGATTCCTAATTTTAAGAAATAAACAATTTTTACCACGAATGTAAAACTGTCAGTCAACTATCCAATGGCTGTGTAATTTCATTTTCTTATGAAGTAAGATTACTGGAAAGCGCTCTTTACTTCACTTTTTCAAAATGAGTGTTAATTTCACTGGCCACCAAACTCAACTCTGTAATAACAAATTCAGAGATGTAAATGCTCCAATTTAATAGGCAGTTCCAGGGTCTAAAATAGGTTTCAAAATCTAGGCTTAAGAAAGCCATCCCTATGATTGAATAAGTTTTCTGCTTTCAAAAGGATTAAGGCATAATCAGACATCAAGGAATCATAAAGTATATTATCCTTGCAGTCCAAGTCTTGATTAACAGTTTGCAGAAACATCTATATACAACAAAGGAATTTTAAAGTCAAAGAAAAAAATAATTTCTGGTGAAAATTTAGCTTCCCAGGGCACTGACTCCAACTAGACACTTCATGCTTAAAGGTAAAGAACATATTTCCTTTAGAAAGGGCTGCAGAGTTTTTTAAACACATAAAATCAGTTAGCAGAAGTGGCTATCTATTCCAAATGTTCATACTGACTTCAACAACTCAGAAATTAGTCTTTCATCCCAAGGGGAAAAGAAAACAAAAACTTTGCACTTGTAAGTGTTGGTAAAGTATTACACACACACACACACACACACACACACACACACACCCGTGGGGAAGTAGGCAACAAACACTTCCACTAATGCATAAAGGAAAACCTTCATTACCTCCAAAAGCCTGGAGCTAAAGTCAGTCATAAAGGAACAATACTGGATGATTCCACTTATAGAACGTGCCTAGATTAGTAAAGTTCATAGAGAGAAAAATAATGGCTGCCAGAGGCAGCGGGGAGGGAAAAATGGACTTACTGTCCCGTTGGTAGAATATCAGTTTGAGAAAAAGTTATGGAGATGGATGCAAGACAAGGTGGATGTGCTCAATGCCACTCAACTGTAAAACCACTTAAAGATGGTCAAAATAGTCAGATTTTAGGGGCACCTGGCTGGCTCTGTTGGTAGAGCGTGTGACTATGGGGGGGGGGGAGTCCGAGCCCACCCTGGGTGCAGAGATCACTTCAAAATAAAATCTTTAGAAAAAAATAAAACAGTAAATTTTATGTGATGTATTTTCAGCATACACACAAAAAAGCCTGCCCTTTACCCTGCCACGGCACATCAGTTTTAAGCTACACCAAAGCCATAATCTCTATCCATAACCCTCACAGTTCACTCACAAACTCACCGCCCCTCTTCCATGCCTCTGAAACGCTTAAAAGAAAGCGTTGAGACTCATATAACCAATGCCCAAGGCCACAAACAGGAGGGGCCGGCAGGCAGGAGTCGGGGTTAGGGGGTCAGAGGGTCAGAGGGTCAGGAGAAGCCTTGGCCCCCAGCTTGTGAGCGAGGGATACCTGAAAACTCCCCATCGATGGCGAAGAAGTCGGCCTCCTCTATGGCCTGGTACACTTTTTGAAGATTACTCTTAAAATCTGCGGAGAAACCGAGAAGAGGCTCAGAACCGGTGGCCTGGCTTCCTGCCCAAGAGCACCTAACGGGAAAGGGAAGTGCTGGGAAGATCCTGAAGCCTCGGGCGGGAGGAAAACAAGTCCCAGAGGGATAAACAAGACAGACAGTATCAAGTCCCCGAGGGGTACACGATTGGAGAGGGTCAAGTCCCCATTGGGCGCATGGCCCGGAGGAGGACAAGCCCCGAGGGTGCACGGGCCACAGAGGCACAGAGCCCCGGGGGACGCCCGCGTGAGAGGACAAGGCCCCTAGGGGTGCACGGGACAGGCAGGGACAAGACCCCCTAAAGCTCACAGACTTCAGGGGAAGCAAACCCCTGAGGGGCTGCTTCAGCTCAAGGCCCCGCCAAGCACACCGGCGCTGGTCTGGGCCTAGCAGGCCGAGTGAGGGGGCCTTGGGGCCCGGGGTAGTGCACGGCGAACACGCACTGCTCCTGATTATCTCCATTCTGCAGAGTGGCCGGAACCCCGGCCCCACCCGAGCCCGCCTCAGCCGTTCTACACGCAAAGTTCCGCCGGGACCGCAGCAGCAGCAAAGGCAGAAGCGGTGGAGACCGCGGCGGCGACTTCCGGAAACAGCGCGCGCCGGCGCGCATCACGTGCGCCGGCGTCAGCGGCGGGGGCGGGGCCAGCCTTGGCTCCTTTCGCTTCTTCAGGGATAGAGAAGGGGCGTGGCTATGGAAATCGCTAGGGCGTGGTCTAACTTGCGAGGCCAGACGTGGGACCCCAAATTCAAACTGAGAAATAATCATGTCTTGACGCCCAACTGATGAACAAATATTTCCAGGCGATATTATGCGCCAGGCACTCTCAAACGGGTGGGGAGACAGTGTTGAACAGAGGGGACAAACTCTTTGCCCCTTTGGAGCTTAACTTGGAGGAAACGGGTAAAGTCAGGAGGGTATCAAACTTGCCACTTGGAAACACATCAGCGCTCTGAAGAGGAAGAGCCCGGTGCTGCAATAAAAATAATGGGGGATAGAGAGAATAAGGGTACCCGATTAATAGAGGTGGAGAGAACGCAAAGCTGAGACCTAATGCACTAGCCACTGGGACTGGCGAACAAACTCAATGAGGTCTTGCCTTGGTTTGGAGTATACTATGGATCCCCAGAGCATACAACGGTGTTGAAACACAGTAGATGCTCAATAAACACAGCTCAGTGGATGAATTCACTTTCCTCTTTCACAGACTATGAGGTTGGTTAGAAGACCTACTTTCAAAGGCTAGCTCTTCCATTAATTAGGCTTCCGTATTGACCATTCCTAAACCTCAGACTCTTCATCCACCGGGGTTGAAGATCAATGGTGATAATGTCGGTGAGTTATAGAAGACTGTGTAAATGTAAGACATGATTAGACTTCTGACTTGTCACAATTCCCTTGCGTTCACACCTCTGAGTTTGAGATTTATTGAGTACAAAATCCATATGTTTTTTGAAGAAAAAAATGACCATTTCCCCCCACCAAAAGGAAGTATTAAAAATTCCAAAGGACACGTAAGAGTCTGACCATATTTTCCCCAATTCCCTCAAAAAGTTCGTTTCTCTTGCCTCAATCAATGGAAATTTACATATAGGGTAACTATGTCAACTATCTCTAATGTGAACAGCTGAGAATAAATGTGAATTCTAGAGTTCAGGTGGAAAGGGAAGGAGAAAAATATGTAAGTAGTCGAAACTCAGGCTTGAAATATTTCTCTGCCTTTTTTGTTTCACCTTAAAAAGTTCAATACAGGGTGCCTGAGTGGTTCAGTCAGTTAAGCATCCAGCTCTTGATCTCAGCTCAGGTCTTCATCTCACGGTCATGAGCTCAAGCCCTGCGTTAGGCTCCACTCTGGGTGTGAAGCCTACTTAAAAAAAATAAAGTCAAATACAGAAAGTACTAGACATATATAGCACTTAAATTTAAATTTTAACTGATTTAAATAATTTAAATAAAGTTTAAGTAATTTAAATAAATATCAAAACTTACTACAAAGCTACAATAATCAAAACAGTGTGGTATTGGCATAAAGAAAAACCTAGAAACACCTATAGAGACACCGCCCCCCCCAAATAAACTTGCATTTAAGGACATATGATTTTCAAGTGTGCTGAGATCATTCAATGGGAAAAGAACAGTCCTTTCAATAATAGTGTCTGGAACACTGTATGTCCACATCAGAAAGAATGAAGTTGGATCCTTACTTTATACCAAATAAAAATTAAATATAAAATAAAAAGAAAATAAAAATGAACTCAAAAAAGTGTCTGACTCTTGATTTTGGCTCTCTGCCCCTCCCTGCTCACACGCGCTCTCTCGCTCTCTAAATAAATAAACATTTAAAAAATTAACTCAAAATAGATGACACATCCAAATGTAAGAGGTGAAACTATAAGACTCTTTTGAGAAAACGTAAAGCAAAAGCCTTATAACACTGTATTTGGCAATGATTTTTTTTAATACGATACCCAAAGCAGAGGCAGCAAAAGAAAAAATAGATGAATTGGACATCAAAATTTATGACATTTGTGCATGAAGGGATACTATCAACAAAGTGAAAAGGCAACCCATGGAGGGGCACCTGGGTTGAGCGTCCGACTTTGGCTCAGCCCATGATCTCATGGTTTGTGTGTTCGAACCCCATGTTGGGCTCTGTGCTGACAGCTAGCTCAGAGCCTGGAGCCTGCTTCAGATTCTGTGTCTCCCTCTGTCTCTGACTCTCCCCTGCTCATGCTGTCTCTCTCTCTCTCTCTCTCTCTCTCTCTCTCTCTCTCTCTCAGAAATAAATAAATAAAACATTTTTAATAAGGCAACCCCATGGAATGGGAGAAAATATTTGCAAATTATGTATCATATATAAAGGACTCCTACAATTCAATGACAAAAAAACAATCTGATTAAAAACCAGACAAAGGACTTGAATAAATATTTCCCAAAGAAAATGTACAAATGGCCAGTAAGCACATGAAAAGATGTTCAGCCTCACTAACGCAAACCACAACAGTAATGAGATACCCTTTCACATCCCCCCCCCTTTTTTTGATGCAAAAAAGGATGGTTTTATTAAAGCACAGGGACAGGACCTGTGGGCAGAAAGAGCTGTCTTTCTTTTTTTCCCATCATTTCACATCCCTTAGTTGAGAAATTGAAACCCTTCCGTGCTGTTGGTGGGAAGCTAAAATGGTGTGGTCGCTGTGGAAAACAGTATAGGGATTCTTTGAAAATTAAGAAATAGAATTATTATGTAACGCAACAGTTCCACTTCTGGGCATGCACCTTTAAATAATAAAAGCAGAAGCTCAAATAGGTATTTGTACATACATGTTCTTAGCCACACTATTCACAATAGCCAAAGGGTGGAGGCAACCCACCCCATCAACAGATGAATAAACAAAAAGTGTTATATACTTAGAATGGAATATTATTGAGCCTTAAAAAGGAAGGACATTATGACACATGCTACAAGCTGGATAAGCCTTGAGGATATTATGCTAAGTGAACAAAGTTAGTCACAAAAAGACAAATAACAGTATTCCACTCACATGAGGTACCTAAAGCAGTCAGATTCACGAAGGTATAAGTTCGAATGGTGGTTTCCGGAGGCTGGAGAGAAAGGGCGGGTTGGAGTTGTTTAATGAGTATGGAGTGTCAGTTTGCCAAGGTAAAAAAGTCCTGGAGACGGATGCTGATGATAGATGCACAACGTGAATGTACTGAATGCCACTCAACTGTACACTTAAAAATGTTTTTTAAAATGGTAAATTTTAGGTCTCTTTTACCACCACCACCACCACCCACCCACCCACACACACCCACACCCTTGGGCCAAATTATCCTCCAGAAAATGAGATCACATACTCCCTGCACTGGCATAGGAAGAGTCTTGTAAGTCTTCGCCAATCTGTTATGTTAGAAAGAAAAGTGTCACTCCGAATGATCAGTTTAACAAACTCCAGGCCAGTGGTTTAAAACATAACCAGTATGACTTCTCAACGCACCAAGACACCGGGAGAAAAACAGGCTCATAAAGTCACTTTAACCCCGGTTAATACTACACAGGGAACTTCCGCCAAGGTCCTGGGTTTCTCAGCCAAAAAATATGAAGGCAAAAAAAATTGTGGCGAGTATACTGCGGTCTTATTATATTTAATTTCTGGGTAAAGTGGTGTCCTCCAAACACAGAAACCGACTCCCAGGAGAACCCGCACCAGACACGCGCCTGACCCCGGGGCTGTAACGCCGCGGGGGTCTCAAGTCGGCCCCTCAAGAGGAACGGGCGGGGCCGGAGGTGGCACGCATGCGCCGAAGTCCTCGGCCGGGGAGTGGCCGCTCTAGGCAGCGGGGAGGTCGCGGGGTTGAGAGGGTTGGGCTAAGAGTGTGGCTTCTCCTCTATGGTCGCGGGCCGGGGCACACTTCTCCGCAGTAAGTCCTCGGTTACTTCCGGAAGTGAAGTGACCACCTCTTCCTCTGCTTCCGCGGGGGTCCGGGAGGCAGGCTGCGGCCGGGTGGGCCCGGAAGGAGCGGAGTGGTAAGTCGCAACGTGGCGGGAAAGGGCAAAGGGAGGCCCGGGCTGATTTCGGGGCGGGTCAGAGAAGCGGGTGCCCGAGGCTTTCCTCGTCCAGGCCCGGGTCCTAAGCATCCGCGGACTCGGCCACGGGGCACGGACTCGCGTGTGGCCAACTTCCCCGTCCCTGCCCGAGAGCCCCACGTCGGCAGGGCGAGTCGTTGGGCCTTGCCTGTGTCCCCTCGCGGTCAGGGTCGGAGTCTGCCGCTCCAGGATCTCCCCAGGGCGGGAAGATGGAGGCGTCGCTTCCGCACACCTTGGAGGGGAACGAAGGGACCCCTCCCCAGGAACCCCTGCCGCAGCCTCTGGCTGCGCGTCCAGAATTGCTCAGGGTCCTGGTAGACTGACCTACGGGTCTGATTGGAGAGGCAGTCCCTGCCCCAAAACAGAACGATTGCTCCCGTTATAAAATAGGGTAACGGATCTGCACAGAAGGGAAAGTGAACCCCAGAGTCGCGCTAGGGTTAGGTTAGAACACCGCTGTTACGACTGGGGACTCACGGCCCCTAATCGGAACTTGTACAAAAAGGAGTTCTCGTTAAAAACCAAATACAAAGAGGGGTAAATGAAACGTGTCTAACTGAGGATCGTTGGCGGGGCAGGAGGCGGCCCCCCAACTTAGGTGGAGAGGAGATAAAGCCCGGACACTGTCATGCCCTCAGCTGTCGCCGTTGGGTCCTCCCCGCTAAAGCCCATTGGTCGGTCCTTTGGGGGTGGTCTTGATGTCACCGTCTGAAAGGCCAATAGGAAAGAGGTTTACTCTCTGCTCCCGGCACACCCCGGAGCCGGCGCCGAGCGCACGTGCGAGTTAGGTAGTTTGGTGTGTTTTTGTCCAGGCTGTTTTGTAAACAGCCAGCCTGGGTGTCTGATGTGTTCTGCGTTTCCCTGCCTGTCTCCATAAACGAAGTGAAAAAACCGTCCGCCGCTCCAGTGCTTGGCACTGACACTGCTAACGTAGCTGACATCAGTAAGTGCAACTAGTAATCGTTCTATTATTATTCAGTTCTCTTGTTGAATACCTATGGATAGAGTTTGTTATTTAAACCTCCTTCAGAGTGGATATTATTATCCTGAACTTAGAAATGAGAAATATGAGGCTCAGGGATATTAAGTGTGACCTGTTTGGAACCCAGATCTCCATTCCTGAGAACATACAGTTTTAAGCATACAAGGCTCTCAGGGGAAAGAGCAGTCTGGGAGATGAGGAAACACACAAGTAAAAGTTACATTAATTCACAGAGGCAGGAAGGAGTACTTTGGGTGTGAATGGAGTTAGCCATTAAAGACTTTCAAGTGGCAGGTGATTTGGGGTTTGTCAATTGAACACTTTTGACCCAGAGATGGTGCAGAGCTGGGTTACAGAGGAGGGGAACAATGTGATGGGAAAATTCACAAGGAGCAGAAGTTCATAGATGGGACCACGGGGTGATGAGTGAGTAGACGAGCAGTAGGGGATAATCATAGTAATAGCTGACATTTGTATTGCACTAATGTGCTGGGCACTATTCAGAGTGTGGTGCATGTATTATTAATTCATTTAACCCTGTCAACAACTTCATCAGTAAGGTAGTATTAATATCCCCAGTTTACAGATGAGGAAACTGAGGCACAGAAATTAAGTGACTTGCTTAAGATCACACTAGTTATTGGTGAGCTGGGATTTGAAATTAGTCATTCTGGCTTCAGATTTTGTGCTCTTGTTTCAAAAGTTGTGTTGGAGTACCTGACTGGCTGAGTCTGTAGTGCGTGCGACTCTCAACCTCAGGGCTATGAATTCAAGCCCCACATTAGGCATGGAGCCTACTTTAAAAAAAAAAAAAGAAAAAGAAAGAAAAGAGAAACCACCTCATTAAAAAGTTCTGTTGATTTATGGACCATAAAGATTCTTAAATGACAAGTTTACAGCTGTGGGCTTTAATTGCTCACGGTCAAGATGGTTTTGAGTGAAGGTAATGTTTGGTCAGAATTTTGCTCCAGGAGGATGATTCAGGCATTGGAGAGAAGAGGGATTGCAGAGAAGAGGAGATGAGCATGAAAGTGTTATTTAAACTTTTATTTTGTTCACACCTTACCCATACCTTATCTGAATCATATATAGGCACACACGTGTTTATTTATTTGTATGTAACAAGTCCCTAGTTCCCAAGCTTCTGTGTGCATAAGGATCTCCTAAGGGGCTTGTGTAAAATGAACATTTCTGGGGCACCTGGGTGGCTCATTTAAGCATCCAACTCTTTTTATTATTATTATTATTAAGTGTATTTATTTATTTATTTATTTTTGAGAGGGAGCACTAGCAGGGGAAGGGCAGAGAAAGAGGGAGACACAGAATCTGAAGCAGGCTCCAGGCTCTGAGGTGTCAGCACAAAGTCTGACGTGGGACCTGACCCATGAAACAGTGAGATCATGACCTGACCTGGAGTGAGACGCTTAACCATCTAAGCCACCCAACTGCCTCAAGCATCTGACTCTTGATCTCAGCTCAGGTCTTGATCTCAGGGTCGTGAGTTCAAGCCCTGCGTTGGGCTTCATGTTGGGCATGGAGCTTACTTAAAAACAATAAATAAAATAAAATGTACATTCCTGGGCTCCTCTCTCTCTCATTTATCCTTGTTCATTTCAGATTCACAACACTTCTCAGATGATTAGGTCAGAAGTTCTAAGAAATTACTGTGACAGGGAGTCAGATATATGTTGATTTGATTTTCATCTACAAATATCTAGAACCCATCTATGTGCCAGCTACTTCAAATACAATGATAGAGGGGCACCCAGGTGGCTCAGTTGGTTGAGCTTCCGACTTCAGCTCATGTCATGATCTCATGATTTGTGGGTTCAAGCCCTGCATCGGGGTCTGTGCTGACAGCTCAGAGCCTGGAGCCTACTTCATATTCTGTGTCTCCCTTTCTCTCTGGCCCTCCCTTGCTCACACTCTGTCTCTCTTTCTCAAAAATAAACATTAAAAAGTTTAAAAACGGGCTCAGTCGGTTAACCATCTGACTTTGGCTCAGGTCATGATCTTATGGATCGTGAGTTCGAGCCCCGCGTCAGGCTCTGTGCTGACAGCTAGCTCAGATCCTAGAGCCTGTTTCAGATTCTGTATCTCCCTCTCTGACCCTCCCCTGCTCACGCGGCCTCTCTCTCTCTCTCTCTCAGAAATAAAAAAAGCTTTAAAAAAAATTTTAATTACAAGTTTAAAAACAAAAAACACAATGATAGAGTACTGTGGCTTGGTTCCTGATCTCAAGCAGCTCAGAATTTGATTGGAGAAGGAGAGAGTACTCAAACCAATAATTAAAGTATGGTTTCTAATCAGTTTTTTTTAATCACAAGTTATTGGACATCTACAGCATTTAATACAGGATAGGTCACTGACTAGGTGCCACATAACAGAAATGAAAGAAGAGTGTGCAGGGAGAACCTGGACACTATTCTCAGTGTGCTCTCATCCTGCCCAGCACCCCTCATGGGCAGTAAGTCACCGGGCCTCAAGGTTCAGGCCGCACGTCAGCCTCCTATGAGCCTCCTATGAGCTCACCGGCTACCTTTGCCCTAGTAATCTCCGACTCCGTCCAGAAAGAAAATCTACTGGGACAATATTTGATATGGGAAGACCCTGGAAATCCTTCTCTTGTGTTAATGAAAGCCCATTTCTGCCCCCTACAAGAAGTAGGGGTACACAGTACTCTCATATTTTTGCCATTTTTGGCCTTTGCCTTGCTTACATTTGGGCACATTTCATTTTGTTTCATAATCACTAGAAATGTGTGGTCACTCTTTGGACATTTAAAATGTCTGTAGTATTCTAGTGTTTATAGTGGTGTCCCCAGAAGTGGACCTGGGGTGCCAGAAATAGGGGTGTTCCCAACTACTTTCACTTTCACCCCCACTTCTCTCTCGCTCTTTCTTTCTTTCTTTCATTCTTTCTTTCTTTCTATGCAAGTAATCTCTGTGCCCAACATGGGGCTCGAACTCACAACCCCAAGATCAAGAGTCCCACACTCTTCTGACTGAGCCAGCCAGGCACCCCTCACATCCCTATTTCTTTCCTTCTTTCTCTCTTTCTTTCTTTCTTTTAATTTTTAGGGAGTGCAAGTGGGAGAGAGGGAGAATGAAAGAGAGAGAGAGAGAATATTTTAAGCAGGCTCCACGTTCAGCACAGAGCCAGATGCGTGGCTCGATCCCACCACTGTGGGGTGATGACTGGAGCTGACATCAAGAGTTGAGTGCTCAACCATCTGAGTCACCCAGCACCCTTCACCCCAGTTTCTCTTGTGACTGTTTCTGCTTGCCTCGCAGAACAACATGCTCACCCTAACAGCCACGAGCCAGAGGTCATGTTCCAGAATGCAGTGATGTTGTCACATCCTGGTTTATTTTCTACAGTTTGGATCTCTCAGCTCTTGTGGTAGCAGGGTAGAGAAGCAAATTAGTCCTTTGAAACAATAACCATTATTGATTTCTTCATTGGAATAATGTAGTGTTCTGAGATCAGGCTTTAAATCAGACCGTGATTTAAAACCTGCCTCTGGCCTCTATTAAGTAGGCCTCCATTTTCTCATCTGTAAAGTGGAGATGAGAGCAATAATTATCTCATAGGATCATCTGTCACATGATAAGCTCTCAGGACATACTAGCAGTGGTCATTATTCTTTGCTGTCAGGTCATATGTAATGAAAAGAAAGAAATGGCCTAGTTAAAGGGCCATATAAAGCCAGAATCTTTTTTGTTTTTGCAGTGAAACATCTTTGCTAAGTAATGATTGGGATCCTGTTTTCAGACTAAGCAAATTAGCCCTCCAAAAGATTACTCCTAGAACGTTAGGTATGTACTATCGTCACAATAAACATTTTGTTGAACGAAGAGGTAGAACTGTAATTATATATCACTGAACAAAGCAGTTTGAAGATCATGGCTCCTAAAGAGTTGGCCATCATTACACGAAACTTTATTTTATTTATTTA